GGCCTTAAATAGCAGAGAGCAGCTTTGTGTGTGATACTGTAAGATTAAAATTTAATGATCCCAGTGGGGAGAATGGGATAGCTGCAGCAGTAAGTAGTGTCAGAGCTAAATAAGGAAAACCGAATGAAAAAAACAGATCTGTTTTTTATACATAACGAAGAGCCAGCTGTCAAAAATTGACTTATGTGTTGAAATCTAATCAGATCAGTTGGGATTTTACAGTAGAAAATATTTAAATGTTCAAATTTTATCAACGTTCTCAACGTGTTAAAGGTGTGGATCACTGAAAAACCATTTTTAAAATATTATTTCTGATTATGATTGATCACTCAGACTTTTTCATGCAGGCTGAGCATGAAAACAGTCTCCTACACTTGTCTCCTGCATTAGCTTCTGATTGAAAATATCCATCTATTTCCAGCTGCTGATCCAGAGTTAGGTCGTGGGGGTTGCAGCCTAAACCTACTGCACATTGGAAGCAAAAGCGGCACGGAACGGCCAAAGATAGGATCGGGTTCTATTTTTTTCCGCGAGCCGCTTCTGGTATGCATCAATTACCACAGTTAACACAGGACTAGACAGGAAATCCCACAGTTTCAGTGTAAATTCAAGTGTAATTTTCAAAATAAAAGTATTGCAGCAATGCAATTTCATATGTGAAGGTTACGTGTGGCCTAACGGCTTATTTACTCACACCATCGTTCCAGAAGTACAGCATGAAGTTTTCATGGCTTTCATCCTGGTGGTGGAGAGGAACAACAGCATGCATGACATCAAACAGCAATATCAAACGTGATTTCCTTCTTTTTGGTTTAATGGCAGATTGCATAAACAACCGTAACCTTTGAAATCTCGAGGAGTCTCTTAAGGAGGTTTGTGAATGTCTCGAGGGATTTTGTAATGGTAAATGGTAAATGGCCTGTATTTGATATAGCGCCTTCTAGAGTCCTGGACCCCCCCCCCCCCCCCCCCCCCCAAGGTGCTTTACCACACAATCAGTCATTCACCCATTCACACACACATTCACACGCTGGTGGGGATGAGACACTATGTAGCCACAGCTGCCCTGGGGCGCACTGACAGAGGCGAGGCTGCCAAGCACTGGCGCCACCGGTCCCTCCGACCACCACCAGCAGGATAGGTGGGTTGAGTGTCTTGCAAATGGACACAAAGACAGTGACAAACTGAGCGGGGATCGAACCTGCAACCTTCCAATTACAGGACAAGCACTTAACTCCTGTGCCTCCATCGCCCCGATTTTGTGATCTTGCAAGTTGAGTGAGGAACACGGCAGAAAAGCTGCTTCGCTGCTGAGACTCTCTCGGTGTGCACTTGAGTTCTGTGATTGTAGCGAGTAAACCGTTCCACTGCTGTTCCATGCTGCTTTTGCTTCCAGTGTGCAGTAGGTGTATGTCGATATGCCCAGACTTCCCTCTCCCCAACCACTTGGGCCAGCCTCCATATAGACATAGTCCCTCCAGCAGGTCCTGGGTATTCCCTCAGGTTTTCTCCCAGTTGGAAAACCTCACCAGAGAAGCGTCCAGGAGGCATCCTGACCAGGTGCCCGAGCCACCTCAGCTGGCTCCTCTCGATATGGATGAGCAGCGGGTCTATTCCGAGCCCTTCCCGGATGACTGAGCTTCTGACCTTATCTCTAAGGGAGAGCCCAGACGCCCTGCGGAGAACAGTAATTTTGGCTGCTGGTATTCGTAATCTCATTCTTTCGGTCACTACCCAAAGCTCGTGACCATGGGTGAGGGTAGGAATGTAGATCAACAGTTAAATTGAGAGATTTGCCTCCTGGCTCAGCTCTCTCTTCATCACGTTATTTGTTATGATCAAACATCAAAGTTGCAAATCAGTGCATAGCTGTGTTGCTGGTGTCTGAGGTGCCATGTCCAAATATCAGGAAATAAGAAAACCAGTTATCTGAATCTCAGCTGTGATGTAGCTCACTTCCAGTTCCTGGAAATTGTTGTTGTTCTCGCCCCCCCCCCCCCCCCCCCCCCCCCCCAAGACACCACTGCAAATGTATTGATTAAACAAGTGTTCCACACCTTTAAACAAACGTATGGGTGCTTTCCATAGTTAGTTTATATCGGTGACATTTAGAAAGCAGAGAGCACTTCCTGTTGTTTGGAGAAATTCAGGATCGGAGCTGTAATCTGGCATATTGGATGTTTTCCCAGTGAGCCAAAGCGCTTTTGGGACAGAAACGATGGGTTTGCAAAGACAGGCGGCTCATCGACCAGGGAGCGCGGCCCATTGGTTTATATTATTTACTGTGTTAAAGCACCCTCCCACAGGGTTCATGCAGCGCTCAGTGTGCAGGCAAAAGCACGACAGAGAGAAAGAAGCAGAGCCGCACACTTAGAGATAACGCTTCAGGGATTCTGCCACTTCTAACTATCTCTCTGACTGATTATTGCACATGTACTAATCACCACAATCACTGCAGAGAGCTATTTTTAAAATTAAGTTAATGCTTTTTTTCCTAACGGCATCATGCTTAAAAACATGATGTTGTTACAGCAGAGCGTCAGCGCCTTGAAGGTAATCTCTGTTGAACATGGTGTAATATTGGGCTGCTTTTCAGTCAGTTACACACCTGTCTGATGGCAGAAACAGAGACATATGAGAGCAGCTTTGTTGTGACAGAATTGAATACAAAGAATGGCAGACACGCACACAGATGTAAAAGATTTACACAAAGCAGAATGCAAATACAACATGACAATGATGTGAATATGCTTACTGATTCATGGCTTCACATTTGTATGTATACCCTTTTAAAGGCTGATTTTACATAGTTTTCATTGCTTTCAATATGACTAGAAATTTAAAGATAAAAATATGTTGGTGTAATTAGCGTCACAGGTGTCTCCGGTCTTGTGTCCAGGGTGAAAGGTAGTCACAGTGCTGTTCGGCATCAGGGTGTGTACCACACTGAACATGGGCCACAGAAAGCTGAGGAGAAAGTTGTCTTAGATTAGAAAGACGTTTAAGATTAGAGGTGGGAGACCATCTCTAAGCAGCTTGATGCTCTTGTGATCACATTTGCACGCTATTATGATGTTTATGGGATTTTAGTGAGTGTGGATGTGGCCGTTTGAGGAGGATTGATGACAATTCAAAGATAAATTAAATGAATGGCAACAAAGTGGCCAAGAACAAGTTCCAAAGGGATTAGAGGTGAACTCCAAGGTCAAGGTACATCAATGTCACATAATACCATCCATTGCTGTTTTTAGGCAATGTGAATTTAATAGAAGATGACTCAGGTGGACACCTCTGATGAAAGCATGTCATAACTAAATTAAACTGGAACTTGTCAAAATGCATAGTGACCAGCCACAAACCTTGTTCGAGACTGTCTTTTGAACAGAGCAGAATAACCTGGAGCCATTTTGCATCTCATATCAGCTCACAGACACTAAAATGTAGCATGCATAGAAAAGAGCACTTTTAATGTGAAGCACTGGTGAGGCTTTGTTCTGTTTTGGAGCTTTTCTTCTGCATCTGGACTAGGAAAACATGAATCTGTGTGATTAAATCTCAAGACTACAAAGACATTGTGGTGTGAAATGTGCTGTCCAGTGTCAGTAAGCCTGGTCTCAGCTGCAGGTCATTGGTCCTCCAACAGGATAATGACTGAAACATTATCTCAGAAAAAAACTTTAGACTAATCCAGCCTTCTGTGAGCCCTGATCTAAATCCTATTGGACATCGGTGGAAAGAGCTGAAACACACCACCTGGAGAAGGAATACTTCAGGCAGTTAAAGCAGTTAGATCATGAGGAGTGGACAAAAATACCTGTTGACAGGTGCAGGAGTCTCATTGCCAGTTTCAGGTTATTTCAGAGACTGTTTTTCTTTCTTTAACAGATGGATGGCAATATTTTCATCCATGTCTGTATATAGAATTAACCCAGTGGCTGAGGACACCATGTGTGAACAGATTCTAGATTGTTTTTGTCCTTTTTTAGCCCTTTTTTTCTCTTTTTAATAGGAAGATTTCATTGTGATCTCTTTTTTAGGAGGGTTTGTGGATCAAACCCTTTGGTTGGCAACCAACAACTCTTCCCCTAAGCCAAGTTAGTTCCCCTGCGTTAGTTTTTCTTGCAGTGTCCCGTTGCCATGACACTTGATTACCTGAAAACCTTTGCTGTAGAAAGCAGCGGGCAATAATGCATTAAAACACAACAGTGTTGAAAAGAGCTTCCAGGGCTTTTAGTCATAAATGTTTTATTTCTCTTCCAGGAAGAATAGTTGCCATCGCCACACAAACTTCTTTTTAATTCACTCAAATCCACTGATTCTGTCGCAGACTTTTGATGCATTCAGTGCACAAGAAAAAAACATCTAAGGTGCTGCATAAATGACAACCATAAACTAGGAGAATTTGAGCAACAAATTCTAGAGAAAGGCTCTTGCTTAGCTCGTATCGATCTGTTTGAGCCAAAACATGAAAGTTCAAACTAGTCAGCCGAGGTACCGGCGGATAGAGTAATGATGCCACTCAAAGCAGCAGCTACTCAGACTGACTCAGCGGGATGTGCTTTACTTTTTTTGGCTGGTTGAATTTCACTTAGTATATATGGTGCTCGTTCTTTGTTGTGCATTTTTGAGATTTACCTGAGATTCATCATGTGTCAGGAAACAGATTCATGTGAGAGAAGTAGATTTGCTTCTTTATCAGACATCTTTTGGATAATATATTGTTTGGCTTTAGAAGATACTCATGTTGATACATTTGCAGGAAAGAAAAAAAATCATGGAAATACAACAACTACAAATCTAGCGCCCTTATTTCAAGATGCACGGCATTTATTTGAATGCAACTAGCATAACTAATGGTGCACACACTATGTTTTCCTCCATGGAGCGAGCCAACACAGTGAGACATGTTCTCCATTCAAGTTCTGTCAAACCACCTTGCTTGATAGAGTGAGATGGACAGAACGATTTGCCAGCAACTGATGATGTCTTTGCCCTCACAGATGGTCACTAAACGGGACTCTCATAAATCTGGGACTGGATCGGCGGCGGCGTCTGTCTGGGGGCAACCTCATTATAAGCAATCTGGACCGCTACCAGGATGTGGGGATGTACCAGTGTATGGCCTACAACACTGTAGGAGCTATCCTCAGCAGGAGAGCGAGTCTGCAGTTCGCCTGTAAGTTTCACAAAAGATTGGTTCATTTTCAGAAAAGAAGCAGCCGTATTATTGTATGGAACTGTAAATGATGGTAACATGCAACAAACTAGAGGAACATTATTGGTAACATTTATCAGTGCCGCATGCATTATTGATGCAAGTTGACATTACCCCTATAAATGCATGCATTTTTATTCATTTGGGGCAATATGAGTTAAAATATACAGAATATTAAGAAACAGATCTACCGTACGTTCCTCTATTTGTCCCTTATAATACTGTTGCAATGGAAGACAATATTGTAAAATTATTGAAATATTAAAGGTGTGGGAAACTTTAATCAATGCATTTGCAGTGGTCTCTGGTAGGAGTGAATGCCTTGCAAGCTGAACTAAGGCAAAAAAGGCCCAGAATTACTTTGATCAGCACAGACGTCTGCAACAGAGAGTGACGCAGCACTGCAGGATTTGGAGTCTGATTCTTTTAAATTTGGATATCTCGCCTCGAATTGGTGAACAGCAACGCAATGCTACCACTGACTTACAACGTTGATGTTTTATCCGCGCAAATCACACAAGCCTGGAGGAGTTTTTCTGTGTGGTGGTATTGCTAATGCTAACCTTAGCTTCTATTATTCAAGATGTCCTCTGTGGTGGTGTTGCTAATGCTAACGTTAGCCTCTATTATTCAAGATGTCCTCTGTGGTGGTGTTGCTAATGCTAACGGTTAGCTTCTATTAGTCAAGATGTCCTCTGTGGTGGTGTTGCTAATGCTAACGGTTAGCTTCTATTAGTCAAGATGTCCTCTTTAAAAACATTTCTATTTGTTTGTTAGATCCAATGCATGTTGCAACAAGATGTACGAACCAAAAGGTTCTCTATTGAACTGTAGACCAACTAAGGTTAAATTGTGAAGAAAAACAAAACTTGAGCATAATTTTGCACTTTACTAAAACAATGCCGAACAAAACCAGGAGCATTCTATATGCTGAAACCTTTATTGCAGCCCCTACATATTTAAGCTCTCGCAGTCTTAAATTTTTCACAGCCTCCATTAATCTGTTAATGATCAGAGTCTGGGCTCGTTCCCAGTTTTCATTTCGTGTTTCACTGAACAACAGAGCAGTCTGAACACCATTCTTCCCACTTGTACATTTTGTAAAACAAGGTGCAAATGAACTTAAGTCATGTGTAAAAAAAATCCAACATGAAGCCACACATTCATGTTACCATATGCTGTGACAAGAGGTGTAAAAGAGGTAAGGTAACAACACTGAAAGTTCAAGGTTTTAATTTGTGACCAAGAAATACCTGTAAATGTTTTTTTTTTTAGCTTTTAGGACAGATGAGGTGGGAATTAATCTGGTCAGAGCAGATGGACTTTCTGGATCGGTAACAAGCACCAGCAGGGTGAAAGAATGTTACTGGTATGGGTTGTTGTCCTGATGGATGAGCTCCTTACACCTTTTCGCTTTGAAGATTGACTGAAAGTCATCTCCAAAACCAGCTGCCAGCTCCTAGAAAATATATAAATATATATCAAGACTTTCTTCCTCCCAGAGGATGCAACAGAATGTCTGCAGCATTCAATGAACCAATTTCCTTCATGTAGAACAGAACTACTGTCTCTGGTTTCAAAACATTAAAACAAACTCACTCATTACATTTCCAGTGGTGTGATTAATTCATGTTTTGTTCTTCTCAGATTAGAGCTAGAGAGTAAATGAAGAAAATAAAATAAAGCACAAACTAAATTGAGAGTACACGTGTTTGAAATCTTTGTCATCTAATAGCGTTGAGCATTCAGATTTAAGTCCTAATGATATTTTAGATTGCCTGAGACCATTTGTTGGAAAATAATTCAGTCCAGATGAATGTGGTGTGTCTGATTTTTATACGTGCTCTGTGGAAATGATATCCAATAGTCCATTTAGGTTTTGGGTCAATTTACTCCTTCCTGGAGCTGCAGGAGTGCATTTCTCATTACAGTCTTCTTCCAGCCTTGTGTCAGGGTTTTTCTGACACACAGCAGTCCTGCACCTCCTTTGTACGTGAGATCCAGGGGTAATCTTTTCCTTTTCTTTCATTTTTCTTTCTCCCTCAGACTTGGATCATTTCAAAGTTCACACCAGAAGTGCTGTGTCAGTCCGAGAGGGGCAAGGAGTGGTGCTACTGTGTGGGACTCCAACTTCCTCTGGAGGTAAAACCGACGGGTGTCAGCTGAGAGCTAAATAATTCAAACCAAATCTTGCTTTTTTTTTAAAGATTCATTTGTTTTCAGATCTTACCTATGCGTGGGTCTTCAACGAGTATCCGTACTTTGTCCAGCAAGACAGCCGTCGCTTTGTTTCCCAGCAGACGGGGAACCTTTACATTGCCAAGGTGGAGCCCTCTGATGTGGGTAACTACACTTGTGTGGTGATGAACAGCATCACCAAGGGCAAGGTTCACAGCTCACCTACATCTCTGATCCTCAGGACAGATGGTAAGTCGCAACTTGTCTCTAAGATGTGACAAAAGGTGCTTTTTAGCCATGTTTTATGAGACTTCTTCTTTTTAAGGTCGCTGTTGCCATCAGATTAGCATGAGCGCTCTTCGGCCCGTTGTGCCTCGCTGAATTTAAGTCACTGAGTGCTAATGGAGAACAAACAAAGCAGCCACATCACCCAGTTGCTGACTTTGCTTTCTTATAATCTGCATTCTCCTTTAAAAGCTTTTCTTCGGCTTTCACTTGAATTCTCAGGCCTGTTCTCCGTGGTCTTGTTGTGTTCTCCGTTATGGTTTCATAGAAGGAGTGAATAAAGATTGCCTCAAATGAATTAAACATGAGTCATACGTCACTGGACCATTACATTGAGTGTTCTGGTGGCTCAACCAGTTAGTTTCCACTCAGTGTACTGTACATGTAGCTGCATAAATTTAAATCCCATTGCATCACTGTCTGATCCTGATCTCTGCTGCCTTCTTTGAATACTGATACAAACAATAAAACTGCCCACTCAAGCTTTGAAATAATAGATAAAAAGCCACCGACTGGAAAGAAACAAGACATTAATTCTACTGCCTGCCCTCCCTCCCCTGCAGAAATTTAAATAACTCCTCATTTCTACTTCACAACATCCTGGCCATAGTAGACTTTAGTGAGGCTCTGCTCGGAGTTTGCCCACGACAGAATGTTTGTTCATGTGTCTTTTATTTCTGCTCCGTCTGTTGTACGGAGCCATTGTTTGGTTCACAGTTCCATATTGCGTGTGAGTCATAAATAATGGAAGACTGAGCAGGTTCCTGTGTTTGCTCTTCGTAGGAGTGATGGGTGAATATGAGCCGAAAATAGAAGTTAATTTTCCTGACAATGTACCTGCTGCAAAAGGATCAACAGTTACTTTGGAGTGTTTCGCCCTTGGGAAGTAAGCTGAATTCCTCTAAGAATGCTTTCAATTTTCTTTAGTCTATTATTCCAGGCGAGAAACCTTCAGATTTCTTCATAGCAAAGTCGCTCTGGCAATTATATTTCTCAGTGTGTGGAAAAAAGTCACGCGAAAAAGCCTTTTTTCCTAATGTTGTGGTTGAATTGGGCTTAGTCTAAACCATTCAACCACAAAAATACACAAAGTAGACCGTTATGCTTCATCAAGCCCTTCTCTACTGCAGGATTGTTACAGACACCTGCAGCCAAAGCGACATGCTAAGATTTACTTCCTCCGTCTCTTGCAGCCCGGTCCCAGAAATCACCTGGAGGAGGGCAAATGGAGTCCCGTTCCCCAGCAAAGTCAAGATGAAGTATTCGAACGCTGTGCTGGAGATCCCCAGCTTCCAGCAGGACGACACAGGGGGGTACGAGTGTGTGGCCGAGAACAAGATGGGCAAGAACACGGCTGCCGGTCGAATAGTTTTTTATGGTACTGTCTTTTTAACTTGACCTTATTTGGAAAGCAAAACTGTAACTAGCAATGAAACTACATATATGTGTGTACAAAATTACACCAATTATGCACATTTATTTCACTTTAATGCATGCAAACACTAAAAGTCTCAGACTCGTGAGGAAAAAAGTTTTTTGCACATCAGTATATCTTCAAGATTCTTTATTTTTATGATACATTTAGGTGTTTCGTTTATTGCAGTTTATATCCCAGATGTTCACATTTTAAAGTAAAATAATGCTGGATTTGCATGTTTAATAATGAAGCTTCAGGAAGATTTTCATGAATATTATTGGTCGAATGTGTTTGAGTTTTCCTTATTTTTGGCCTTTGTAAGTCTTCGCTCTTCTGTTTTCTGTTTGCCCTTCGATTTTCTGTTTTCTAGACAATTGCAGCTTCTTGGTAACCCAACAATCAGTATATTCAAAAAACCTATGTTTTATAACCGGATTATTACCAAATGACCCAATGATTATTTTCTGCAAACATTTGGCTCAAACACACATTTTCTTTAGGGTGTTTTCATAGATTGTTACATTGCTGTTAGACAGTACCTGTGTCTCACCTCTACTACGTGAAGTCATCCAGCTAAATTTATTGTTGATAAAATTTTCAAGATTGCAGAATGTATTTTTTAATGACAGCTGACTTATGCCTGTTTGTGTTTTGACTTTTTTTTTCCCTGGAACTACATGTACGTAGCTGTTTACAAAGGAAGAACCAGTTACTCAGAACCTTTAAAGTTGTCCTATTTGAAGAACATTTAAATGACTTTTCTTATAAAAGAGCCAAATTCAGCAAATACTGTATCATTTATTTTTCTTAAAGAGCAAGTCACCCCAAAACCAAGTTTTTTGCTGATAAACTATGCAAATTAGCCTCTAATCGTGTTGTAGACACATGACATGTAGTCAATAATTTTGTCAATTTAGTGCATTTTAGTTAAAATTTAAATATTCAGCCTAAAACTGTCAGTGTTGTGCCATTGTCAGGTAAAAACTCTGCACTGCATCTGCCACCGCAATTGGCTAAGGGGTACACTATGACATTAGCTGGTACATTATGATGTCACAATGTTGTTATGAGCCTGTGTGTGTGTATTTGTTAACGGCTCCGCGCCCTCTCGGTCTGCCAGGCAACAGCATTTGTTGCATTTTTGAAACATGAAGTGGGAGTGGAGTAAGTTTCTTGTAGGGGGTGACTTGCTCTTTAAATAGCAAACAGAAACTATGAAAATGTTCACACACATTTATATAATATGAAATAAAAAAATTATATATGATTGTAAGGATGTTCGATATCAGTAGTCAGCAATTTGTATCGGCCAATATTAACATCCAAACGTAAAATCCGTTTTACAATTTTAATGACACAACTTTTACTTATACATCAAAGTTTTCAGCTACTTCTCCTCTCTCTCAGGATACCAAAACATGACAGAGCCGAGGTATCGTTCTGGAGATATTTCTGTTTGGCACGACTGGGTTAACTTATAGTTGTCATATGTTGCAACATCAATGTTTAAATTTTAAAGTGTGCATGAAAATAAATATTTGTTACCTAAAATGATTTAGTTTATCTTTTTATGTGGGGGTATCGGTTCACATCAGTATCACAAATTAAGAGTTAAACTAAATTGGGATATTGGAGAAAAAAACTAGTAGGTATAAAATAATGTAAGTGATGTGAATCTGTAACAAAGATAGTCCTTAACATCATCTCAGAAAGGATGTTTTTATTGGACCCTTGGCTCACTGGATCTGCTGTTTTCCTGTGAATATTGTGAAAGAGGGGGTAATGACACCCGTGACATTGGAACTGGCAGAATAAACAGTCCCTGCAAAGAAGCTACACTTATTATGGGTGCTGCATTTCCTTCTCCATGAACTACCCTGAAAAGTTGGGAATATGCGATGCAGGAAGTTATGTGCAGAGGCGAAGATTTTTTTATACGCACAATTGAGGTGACAGGTGAGGTTGGGGTGGGCGGTGATGATTTTTTTTTCAACCAGTAAGGCTTTCCGCTTTGTGATTCACTGTTTAATGGTAGTCTTGTGTTGCCACAGGCTTGTGACACATTTAAGTGATGAAATATTCAATCTTCTCTCCCCGAACCCCTTAAAGACAAACGCATTCTTCTCGAGCTGCCAATCTGTGGTTCCTTTGAACTATTTAAGATGGAGCCTGTTTAATGGCACAACGTTGCTTCCTTGAAATCTGTCCTCTGGGTGCTTTTGAGATATTTCACGAGAGGATATTTCTGTGTCCTCAGCCAAGCCCCAGTGGATCCAGACCATGAAGGACACCGCCCTGGCCATAGAGGAGAGACTGTACTGGGAGTGTCGAGCCAATGGCAAGCCCAAACCCTCCTACATTTGGCTGAAGAATGGCCAACAGCTCCTCTCTGAGGTAAATTACGTGCTTCATCCTAAAGCATTAATCTTCAGTTTCAGCTCTTCATTTCATTAAAAAAAGAAGGAGACATAAGCACGTCACTGCTTTCACAAGAGTAATTTAGCTGAGAGGAGAGTGTAAACATTTTGCAGAGGTTTTGCCAGATGATGAGATGTGATTTAACTGTTGCTGGTTCTGCTTCACCTTAGCAGAGATTACACAGTCATAGTGGATCAGTCTGGCTCCCAAGAGCGTGCTCCATTTCATTTGAACGGAGTCGAGGGTTGTTTTTCATTATTCATGGTGCATGTTTCAGCTTCTTGAGATTTAGGGACAATGGGCTTAATCTTCTGTGAAATATACTATACAGAGCTGCACACCTTTCCGCAATCCACAAGAGGAATGCACAGAGTCTTGCATATTTTAAGATCAGTAGCTTTCATCTTGGCTGATTTTGAACTGCATGCTGAAATGTATGTGCTTAACAATAGTTAATACCGCTTGGGGCAATATATTTTCAAAAACAGACTACAAATATTACCAATGCTATCATTTTTAAAATGACTATTAAAATAATAGACTCCATCTTTTGTTTCATGTGTAAGAGTATGCAACAAAATGTGACTGAATGATTACAGAAAAAATGTACATTACACAGTATTAGAAGGTATATAATTAAACTTTCTACATCCCAAGCAGAAGCAATGAGGCAGACTCACTGAGTTGAACATTTGAAGTAAAGTAATGTTGAAAGGAAAATTTCTAGGATTTTAACATTCTCAATAGGAATGTTCCGATTGATCAGCCGCCGGTCAAAATCAGATTATTTCCGTGAAAAACATGTGATCGGCAAATTTCGCTCAACGCCTATCAGAGCTGATCGCTTGTCGCTCATACTCATGGCCGGCAGAGACCCGATGTGTGGCAAAAAGGAGTAAAGTAAAGGTGTCCATAAGGCTGGAGAAATTCATGGCAAAGTGATCAGAGGGACCATCAACGTGGATGTTAAAGTCACCCACAATCACCAGTCTGGACAGCTTCACAGTGGAGGATAGAAAGTCACTAAACTCCTGAAGGAAAGAACTGTTTGGACCAGGTGGACGATAGACCACAGCACAGTAGAACGGGTCCTTACGCCCAACTTTAATCAGCTGCAGTTCAAAGGAAGCAAAGTGACCAGAGGTTGTAGAGCTGCATGGAAGATGGTCTGAAAACAACAGCTAGGCCTCCACCACGACCAGAACCCCGGGGCTGGCTAAGAAAAGAATAACCACTTGGGCATAGTTCAATCAGACCAGAATAATCAGATGTTTGCTGCCAAACTTCAGTCAGAAACAGAAAATCCAGGTTTTTAGAAATTCATAAATAAATTAATCGAATAATAACATAACTCTGGCTCTGTCAGGCTACCCGTTTAGGGGTCTTTTATTCTGGCCACTGTCGGCCATAACCCACGCCTTACAACTTCTCCAATTATCCGCAGAACCATTCATAACAGAGCAGCACCATTTCTGCCCGCTGAGCTCCCCTTCAAAATAAAACTACGGAACATAACAATACTCTCATATCATTATTTCTTCAAACTGTTACAGTAATAATAAATCAAATCAATCTTACCACACACAAAGTTGTGAGATTTGTGTTTCTGTTTTCATTTTGACTGAATCATTGATGCTCCGTGCAGCACGTTGCTGTAGAAACATATTCATCCTGGACATGATCATTTTGAGAGTCTTAATAGATGTTACACCCCTCCTGGCCTAGGAGTACCAGGAGGGGCAACACAAGTGTGGTGGGAGCAAACACGAAGACGATAAAAAGTTCAAAAGGAGTTTATTAACTAAAATTGTCCCAGGTGGGTGTAAATAAAGTCTCTGGAAATAATATTGTCTATAATAACTGAAGACAAGGGGCAAAAGCCCCCCTTAAGCTCGGATAATACCCTCCTGTTTTGTGTACTGGTCCTCCGTTTAGTCCTGTGCTGCTCCTAACGTGGCCGGCGTCTCACGCTCTCCCGTTCTCTCAGTCTCTCTCTCAGGGGATGGGTTTCCTCCAGAAAAGATCCTCGTGTCATCTGTAGTCTTTAGTTCACTCGTCTCCACGATCTCCGGCTGCAACTCTCCGTTTCTTTACACTGCTTTCCTTCGCAGCTCAGCTCGGCACTCCTTCAGCAGCTCGAAACTCCCGTACTCGGTGATTGGAATCCTCTTCCTTTACATGACTCTGTCAAGCGCTCCTTCACATCTCTCTCAAACTTCCTTTCTTTCAGGCAGCTCCAAACTCCATCCTTTCTCCACAAGCGCGCTGTCAGTAACCTCTCACCAACTTCTCATCGAACTCTCACTGGAAACTCCTCTACGACCTTTCACCACTCTCCTTCTCAACTCCATTCACCTTCTCAACCGCCCCCTTCTCTTTAGCCGCTCCCCTCTCTTTCTTTCCGCCTCGTCTTCCTTTATAAGAAGCCCTGATGAGCGCGGATTGTTTCCAGCTGGTGGCAGCGGGCCGGCAGGAAGGGTGCGTCTCGGCGTGCCTCTCTCCATGGTGCTGATCCTGTCACCAGCGGGGCCGGAGCAAGGAGCTGTCCTTGGTTCGGTGGTTAAAATGGAGCCCAGGGACACAGAGGTCATAACAATAGAAAACTGGTGGGCTTTTCTAGTTTGCATGAAGACGTCTTACCTCTCTTCCAAGAGGCTCCTTTGTTCCTAAACCTTGGGTTGTTAGTTGGAGGCTTAGGAGTTTTGGTCAGAAACAAACACACTGTGCTGAAAATCTTATTTTTATCTCTTGAAAAAGTTAAAACATGTTTTTGTCTAAATGAATACAGGCCACAAGTTATGCTATTGTTCCTTTTTCCCCAGATCATGTAGTATGTTGCACTAATTATGATGACAGAAAATGTATGTCCAATCCATGTGGTCGGTATCTGTGATCATTTCGGTGATCGGTATCGGTGATCAGCAGCATCCCTCATTTTCAAGCAATATTTACACCTTAGTGATGATGCTCATAAACACCCTCCTTTTGATTATTATGATTATTTAACACGATAATTCATTGAAACATTTTTAAAAAATTATATCTTCAGACAAAACACACTATGCTAAAATGTGGCTTTTCAAAATAAAAGGAATCGAGTTGTGCCTTGAGTACTAGATTGTTAATCATGACTTTTGTTCACATGACCATTTTTTGTACATCACTCAATATTGAATAGCTTCATAAATTTATATTTTGATTACCGAATGACTTTTTTTTAAGCGCTGAGTTTTTAGACCAGAAGTTTTGTGATTATATAAAACAGCAGAGATGAAGTATTTAGTGGTAAACGTAGAAACTATGGACCAAATGTGTTCTAAGTGGGGGACATTGACAACATAAATAAAAGCATACAGAGAAATGTCTTGATTCCTGTGGTGCTGTGGTGTTTGGGTATCCTAATTGAAAATACTGGAGCCATATTTCATTCCACAAGCCATTGGTGTGCCCTTGATCATGCTTTGTCAAGATGCATGAGATTTTAAAAGTGCAAGAAGGCATGGCACAGCATGCTTACAAAACATAATGCTGCAAATAAATGTAAATATTTGTTCTCATCAACTACATTTTTGTGATCATAGGATCTAAAATTGAAACTGAAATACAAATTTGATTTACTGCAAGGATCCTTCCCTCAAGCAAAATATTGAGCAGCGTTAAAGCCCGAACAACAAAGATGAGGAACAGCTTCTTCCCTGAGGCGGTGAGGCTCCTCGCCTTTAAGCTGTCCCTTCACGCTTTACATTTCTAGGTGTATATTAATGAATTTATGACTAAAACATTTTCTTACTCAGTTTCTCTAGCATTTGACTGAAACACAATAAAATGTTTGTGAAATCTGAATTTGAAATAAAATATTTATATGATACATATACATAAGTCACAGAGCTTATTAAAGACACATGGCTGGTGAGCTGTGTCAGTGAATGCGCCAATTTGGCCTGCGATTAAAATTTGATCACTCTTTATTACGACTCTTGTCAAGAAACACGTTTTACACAAATACGGATTCACCACAAATTAAATAGGATCATGTACTATTTTGACTTTATTCAAAAAGAAAGACTAAAATCTCACTGAAATTAGTAAACAGAGAAGTTGTTGTAGCACTTGGCTTAAGGACCTTTTGCAGCAGTGCACCCTCAAGCCTTTTGGAAGAGATTCTTGTAAACTTGGTACTCATTTCCTTTGGAAGCCGCTATTATTCTGTTTGGCAGAAATGTTTGAGCTCTACCAAACTGGTGCACATCCATGTTCAGGGCTCTCATTTTCTTGGTTCAGACCCAAAATCTCACTTGGTCACTACAGGATTTTCTTCCTGGATGCTCATGATCTTGCGCCTCAAGTCTAACATCTTGGCTGCTCTGAAAAAGGTTTAACCCTCCCACTGTCTTTGTGGGTGACCCCGCGAGGAAAGTTGACCATTGAGCAGGGTTGATGGTTTATCCCTTGAGGTCCATGTGGCAGGGGTGAGGTGGTGCTCACTCCTCACCCCTGCCACATAGACCCAAGGGATAAACCATCAACCCTGCTCACTGGTCAACTTTCCTCATGGGGTCATATCCATGAGGACAGTGGGAGGGTTAAACTCACAGTTTTGTGCCCATTTTTCCATCTGTCACACCATTTATTCTGCCTCCTAGTATGTTCAGAATAGTTTGCCCAGGAAATGTTGCTGTCATCACCATGTTTGAATGTAGACGTGGCGATGATGACGCAAGACTCAGTGTCTGCCTTACCCCGAGCGTGGAATAAAGCAAGCAGAGGAACTGATGCCAAAAGGTTCAATCTGTGGTTCATCAAATCTGGGATTTTGCTTCTTCTGGTCTGAGAGTCTGTGGTCTGCCTTATGTTTTTCAGTGAGTAATGACTTCTGTCTGTCACTGTGCTATAAAGCCCTTACAGATGGAGTGTAGAGTCTAGGAAACAACTTTGGGTTTCATTCTTACTGATCACTAGCTTGATGATTATCTGTGTGATCCAGGTCTTTATTGGCTCAGTATTACACTGTATGGCTTCAGACATGTTTTCACTCTCTTCCTCACTGACACTATCTTGGCTCACAAGTGTTTTCTTGGCCTCACAGTTCACTTTTGACTTATCCAATTAGACTTTAGAGAACCAGGACTGTGCCCTCTTAATTTTGATCAATGATTCTAGGTACTGGTGTATTTCAGTCCATTTGTACAAACCTCTAAAGCAATGTCAACTGTCCTACACAGTGCTGGTGAAGATTCTCAGTCATCCAGGTCTTGGTAATGTAAAGGGTTCAAATGAAGGCCTCAGGATTCCCCTTTCCAGCACCTATAGTGCCCCTACTAACCCCTGCTTCACACTGGAAGAATCAGCACTGTGGAACGTCAGCAGAACGTCACTGCTTCATATAGAATCCATTATAGTCTATGGGGTGATTCAAATCAGACAGGATGCAGAAATGTTCAGGTACTTCCCTGAAGCGGCATGCCGCGTAGCTGAAGATGAGATTGGGTTCTATTTTTGCCGCATGCCGCTTCTGGGACACGTTACTGTCAGCAGTTAACATGGGAATAGACAAGAAATCACGTACGGTATCAGTGTAAACCCCCGGTGATTTTCTAAATACAAGACTATTGCAGCGATGCAATTTCACATCTTCATACATTATGTCAATACATGTGATCTAATGGCTTATTTAGTCCCAGCAACGTTACAGAAGTGTAGCGATGTGTTTTTCGTAGCTTTAATCTTGGCAGTAGAGAGGAACAACATCATTTATGACATCAGACTTCTTTTTTTGGTTTAATGGCGAATGGCATAAACAAACCATGACCTTCAGTCTAGGTCACACCCTCCTGCATCTCATCAAAACAACCATTCTAACACAACTCCTCAGGGGTATGGAAGAGGGGTATTCGTAGGTAGTTTCAGCATGTTAAGCAACAAACTATTCAAAAATTTGACTCTCCCGAGGCCTAAGCTCCTCGGATGAGATGGTTTACGAAACCAAAGAAATAGAAGTGAGGTGTGACCAAGATGCTGCAACTCAAAACATGAACGCCATAAGACTGGTTATCTCAACAGCTCTGTGTTCAGTATTCACCGATATTCGAATTTCTACTTTCCAAATTGGGTAAAAACAAGTTAAATGTCCTCAAATACTGGACGCTCTTTACCATCATAGACCTCAAAGTTCAAGATGTTTGCCTCACACATGCAAAATGATGACAACTACAGTAATAAACAATTTATTTTCTTATTTGCCTATTTTTATCTCGTAAAATCAGTTACTTGTGTTGCATTGCACTACCTCTGGTGGGAAAGATGGTTCTTAGGTGTTTGATGCAGAGAATGTTGAGACAGTTGTAGGCTTGTATTGCTAATTAAATACTGAGTCCAGTATTTAACAAATTATACAGTTTTTTTTTCTTAATTGGAACTGGAGCATGTTTAGGATGCATGTGGCCTAACCCACATCCAAGTTCCAAGTTTTAAGATAAATAGATGTTTGGTAACATGCTGGAGGCACGTGTTTGACACCCATGCAAGGCAAACTTACATGTCGGATTGTTTTGTCTAAATAAAATGTTAAGTTTTTGACATGACTGCACTCCAGAGGGTTTGCCTGATTGGCTTCACTTCATGAAGCTGTCAGGTTCAAATAAATCAAACCTAGTTTTTTTTTACGTTCTGATGCTTTTGTTGCTTTACCTTCAGGCATTAATGTCTAACAGAAATTCTAATGTAAGCTATTTTTGTTAAATGACTCAATTTGTTTAGTATTTATTATCATTTCTAACAAATTTCTCCATATTTACTAACTATTTATTTCAAAGCAAAGGTAATAAAGAGCTGGATCAGAAAGAGAAATATGGCATTTGTGTACAGTTTTAAAAAATGAGAGGATTTTAATTACCGGTGTTTGCAAGGCAGCATAAATTTTAAAAAATGAATAAATAGATTTTAAAAAAGAGAAATAGAAGGTCAGTGAAAGGCCAGTCCATGCGCTGCCTATTCAGAAAAAATGTTGATGACCCTTGTTTTAAAGGACAAGTGATAGATGTAGAATCCACCAAAGCAAAGCTGTAAATCCATGAAAAAGGGATTGAATATCAGGTTTTAACATAATTTAACTAAAAGGTTAGCATTATGCAGAGAAAAATGTTAAAATTGGATTTAAACATCAGAAAAGTGGTGAAAGTGGTTGCAAAAAAGATGTTTCTGTCACTTTGCATGGGAGGAATTATAATGTATGTATTTGTATTTAAGAGAAACACACGCGATTTTACACTGGATGATTGGATTTTCACCCTCTGGTGTCTTCAGAATAATCTGTGCTTTGCAAAAGCTGCCTGATGTCTTCCTCTCATCCTTTTCTTCACAGGGCCGGATCCACGTGGAGGACGGAGTCTTGTCCGTGTCGGTGCTGACACTATCTGATGCTGGCATGTACCAGTGTGTGGCTGAGAATAAACACGGCATCATATATTTTGCTGCTGAACTAATGGTTTTAGGTAGGATGGCATTTATCTCTTAAATCCCCAAATCATTGTTACCAAAGATTCTAAAGGTCATCATACTGTCTTTCTTAAAGGTTGCCGGGATTAACAGATAAAGGGGTCAGTGAAAAGGATTTGGTCGGGTCAAACACATTTGAATTAATCTTTCTGTTTGCGTCATTCGCTACTTTCATGTGATAAATACACAGCTGGATCTTTAGTATTTTTTCAGCTGACTTGTTTAGAAGCTAGTTTTATTTTCAGACTGGATTTTTTTTATTCATTATAAGAAGCTTTTACTCAAATGAGCTTACATCTAAAAATAAATGAAGTTTAGAAAAAAAAACATCTCTTACTTTGTTTTCCTATAAGTCCCATTGTGTTTTTTCCAAAACATCTTGTCTCAGTCACTTTACCGTTGAATGATTTTTACAGATTGAATTACAGCTTACTGCAAATGCCTTGTGAGAATTGCTGCAGTCTTGTACTAAAGACAGTTTACTGTTTCCCATCAGCTTCTCCTCCAGACTTCACAGGAAACGTCCTCAGAGCTTTACTCAAAGCCAAGGCAGGAACTACAGTCACTTTGGACTGTAAACCTAAAGCTTATCCCACAGCCAGTATTTTATGGAAGAAAGGAAACCTGCCTATTCACACCAACGACAGGTAATCACACAAACAGCGTGGCATTGTCCAGTGTGACTCTAATTCAAACAAAACTAACATTTTCTCTTCCTCTTCTGTAGCTTTGGTCTAATCAATATCAACTTCACACATACATAAACTTTGGTAGCACTTTACAATAAGGGTCACTTTATTAACATTACTTAGTGCATAATTAAACATCAATAAACTATTAAACCTTAAGGACACTTTATAGTTAACAATAAAGGTCACACTATTACCGGGACTCTTTGTTCATCAATGCCCAATAATGCACCAAGTGTTGTTAGTAAAGGGACCCTTTTTTTATTAATGTGTTTTAATGCTTAATAATGAATTAATTAATGTTAATAAAGGTGTCATTTGTTCATTAATGTGTTTTAATGATTAATAATTCACTAAGTAATGTTATTAAGGGGACCCTTTGCTTATTAATGCTTAATGTTTGAAAAGGGACCCTTTGTTTATTATTGCTTAATGATACACTATATAATTTAATTAAGGGACCATTTGTTTATTTGTGCTTAATAATGCACTAGGTAATGTTAATAAAGGGACCTTTTGTTTATTAATGCTTAATAATGCACTAAATAATGTTAATAAAATGACCCTTTGTTTATTAATTCTTAATAATGTACTAAGTAATGTTAATAAAGGGACCCTTTGTTTATTAACACTTAACAATTCACTAAATAACATTCATAAAGGAACCCCTTTGTTTATTAATATTTAATAATGCACTAAGTAACAGTAATAAAGGGTCTCTATATTTATTTATGCTTAATGTCCTAAGTAATGTTAATAAAGGGACCCTTTGTTCATTAACACTTAACAATTCACTAAATAACATTCATAAAGGAACCCCTTTGTTTATTAATATTTAATAATGCACTAAGTAACAGTAATAAAGGGTCCCTATATTTATTTATGCTTAATGTCCTAAGTAATGTTAATAAAGGGACCCTTTGTTTATTAATGTTTAATAATTCACTAAGTAATGTTAATAAATGGACCCTTATTGTAAAGTGTTACCCTAACTTCTCATCTAAATGGTGTCTATAGCAACACAAAACTTTAATAAAAAAATGAAATACGGGTTTGATTAAAAGAGTCTTTCTCGTTGCTGTTTCTGTTTGGCCGCTCCTACAGGATCACACTTTCCCCAGATGGAACTCTGAGGCTTGCAAATTTGAGCAAATCGGATGCAGGCAGCTACACATGCTTTGCTAGGAATAGATTTGGAATGTCAAGTACAACTGGACGGCTCCTGGTTACAGGTGAGCGCTGCAATTACCGTTCTTTGCTCTCTACTTAGTAAGCAGAATCTACCGCTCAGCGTGGATCAACAGGAGACAGAGCTGCTGCGTTTGGGTCAATAAATGACAGGTTTTGTAGAATTCATTCTGAAAAGTACTTTCTGCACAATTAAAGTACAAACACTGTGTTTGTGTTAAAATAAGGATCACACTTTTTGCAACTTGAAAGAAAAAGAAAAGAAAAAAGCTCTGGTCTTTCAATTGTTTTGTCCAGCTTCATTTTTGCAGCTGCTGCAATAATCTGCTCGAAACGTGGTTGACAAAGTACTTGAACACTGTTTTCCTCACAGCAGCTGAAACAACCAATTTACTGCAGCAAATGAAAGTGCCTTGAGTGGAAGCAATGAAAACATTAAAGAGGTGGTGTCACAGATGCTGTTATTGTTGAGCGTGAGATTTTTTCCCTGCTGGAGTGGCAGCTGAGTGTCCTCTGAGCTTCTTATTGGTTTTGTTAATGTGCTGAGTAATATTGTCTCCTGTTTTGATTGCCATGGCCAGTTATTTTTTTTAAATTACTCTAGAATTCTCCACAGCAATAAAGCAGTCAATGACACACAGCCCCAACCGAGACATTAATTCTCAGTAGCTTAAGAACCGGGTGTTTTCCCCTTCTTACCTCTTGACATTCATAGTAAGGTGAAATAAGTCTTATACCGTTGTGTTTCTTCTCTATTCGATTCCTGCAGATTCATTATCTTGACTTTTGAAGCACAGAGGGGCTTCTCTAAATGATTGCTTTAGTAGACTTCAAAGCTGTGCTTCTCATTTTGGTACCACATCCACTGAGGAGCCTATTATGTGAGGTTTTATCTGATCAGCAGTGCATCGCAATTCCTATCAGGATTTCAGAAGATTATACGAGCTGTGTCATCCTATTACTCCTCTTAGTGATGGCAGGCTGCATGTAATCACACAAAATTTGATGGAGGCTTTCATGAGACGTTTCCTTTATGAAGACAACAGCCACTGTTTTACAGAGCTTGTTCTCGTGTTCCAGTAAGTGTTGTCTTACTGCTCCAATTCCAGCTAAATCAACAATGAAACGATGTCTCCGTTTGTTAAATGTAAGAGATTTTTTTTTCTTGTGACAGATCCAACCAGAATCATCCAGGGCCCAGTGGACATGGAGATCATCGTAGGCGAGAGTATTGTGTTACCCTGCCAGGTCTCCAGTGACCCCGTCCTTGATGTTTCTTTTTCTTGGGCCTTCAATGGACATCTGATCACCAATGGAGACGGTCACTTTGAGCTGGTGGGCGGGGTGAGTGTCGCCTTTGTCCAGAGGGCAATGGCTCAGGCTTTTTCAGAGAGACATAGAAATACAGCAGCTTCATCTGAACACCAAATTTTGCACCGCATTCTGAAAAGTTTAATTATCAAGTTTTTTTTTTCCCTCAGTAAGAAAATCAAACATTATTCAAACATGTAATGTACGTAGTTTTTAAACAAAGAAAAGTTATTGTGGAATTTGGCCTAGGATAGCATGATGGCCAACACTGTGTTTAGCAGAGTCATCTAAACATTTCAGACAACAAACAAGGTCCTGATCTGGAACAGGGGTGTCTTTTCCTGCAACAGGAATGTAATTTTTCTTCTTTAGTTTCCTTTGAAAAAGGCAAAAGGTATGTTGTGGTGTTTTTTTCCCCATTTCTACTCCTCAAAATAGGTCTAAAACAGACATTTTAAGAATCATTTCAACATAAAATGAGACAAAATTAATCATCCATTGAACTGGGGAACACACAAAATCACCCAGGAGGCCCCCGGGTCACACATTTGTTGATCTAGGCGTTACCTCAGATATTTTAGCAAATACTTTTTTTGCTTTTATGAAAGTCTCTCACTTACATTATTCAAACAAACCAAAAATGCAGAAATGTCCTCATCATCCCACTGCATTGTGAGATTATCCACATTAATTACATGTAGAAGGAGCCTCAGAAGCATCACAAAATCCTTTAAAAACTTGTATTAAAAAATACTCACAACTTCTTATCAGTAATTATCCATTTCAGCAAACAACTACAGTTCCGCTGTGACGAGAACAAATGTCAAGGGTTTGGCTGAGTTAGATGAAACAAACGCACCCAAAAATGGGGAAAACTGATCAGTTTATGATTTTTATGTTATTTTTTAATGTAGCATTTTCAAGGTTTGAAACTGCATTCATTTTTCCTTTAGTAGGGCTTGAAACCACAAGTGAAAATACTCATAGCACAATATTGTTTACTTTTATGGAATGGAATATGCATGTTTAAATCATCATTGATGTAAGATGGTGGAAATTCCTGAAAAATCACCAAGAAAGTGCTTGAAAAATGCTTATATTAGATTTTGATTTAGTAAAGATTGTAAGGAGGGTACAAAAGGAGCAACGTTTTAAGTTGATCAAACATGCCTTAGCGTGGCTGGCCATTAAAACAAAACAGAAATCAGGCTATTAAATCAACCGACCCATCAATTAGTCAACCCTCAATCTTAGTCAGTCTTTTTTTTTAAACACGAGTGGACAGTTGGCACCTTCCAGCTTGCTTTAGTCCATTCCTGCCATTAGCAAAAACGGACAGCTTATGGTCCGACGTCAGTGTCTTGATGGATTCACTGCAGCTGCTGTGATTCTCTCTATTTTGCAGCTTCCTTTGAGGCATTAAAAAAGCTGCATCATGGTAAAGTTGGAATCTGTGGAAGGAAGTGCAAATGGATCAATGAAGGCCTTTGTGCCTCCAATTGTATTTTTGTGAATGGAAACAAGACAGTTCCCAACTTAAAATGCACTTCCCACATAAAAATCATTATGTAAGTAACGCACTAGTTGCTCGGGCACGGTGACAGGTTGAAATCTTTGTGAGTACTCTTCTTCTGTTCCAGCCCAGCTCAGCTCATCTGCCTTTTTTAATGCTTTGGCTCACTGTGAATTCTGCTGTGACACGGCCTGCTGCACAGCCTCACACAGCAGAAAGTGGATACACATTATTAGATGTGTCTTCTAAAGGAATCAAAGCATGGCAAATGCCCAAATGACAAAACACTTCCTCGCACCCTTCAGATTAGCTATTCTTCTTGTGTGTCTCTTTTTCTGACAACGTTCTTATCTGAAAAGAGACTTCGTACCCGGAAATACCGGAATGTCTCCGGTCCAAAGAGATTATCAACTTAACTTTGCTCCTACAGGGACTTTAATTTCCATAATTAAACCACATAGGCTCTTCTGCTGTATTTTCCTGCCAATGCCAGTAGAACGATTTCACCACTAATTTACCATCCTGTGCTTATGGGTGTCTGTTCAGAAGAGAATGCAGAGGGCCTCTTTTTCTCTCTACAACTAAATAAAAACTGCCTGAATTGCCTTTTTTATGTAGGTCTTTGCTACATGTCTTAAAGGTCAAGAGATGACCTCTTCAAAAAACAGGTGGAAAAGCTTTTTAGAAACAAAAACAAAGAAACAGCAGCAAGCAATGTTCCCTTTTTCTTCCTGCACTTGTTGAGCCGCTGCTTTTGACCTGAATTATTCATATACTTTGTTCAAAATAACCTCAGAATGTGCAAACGGTCTTGGAACCGCTATTTACTGCACCTTATGTATGCTTCAGTGCGTTCTTTAATAAGCTGTCACAGGGTCTGTTATCTTTCATGCTACATAAAACCATCTCTCCTTCTTAGCAGAGAACAGCAGGAGATCTGATGATCAGGAACATTCAGCTTTACCATGCCGGCAAATATATCTGCGTGGTGGACACTGACGTGGAGAGCCTGTCAGCCGTGGCTGTATTGATTGTAAAAGGTAAGAACCCCCCCACCCCCACCCCCACCCCCCGCTTGGCACTCACTAATTAAAACAAGGCTTGCAGCCGGGGTTTTAAAATTGGTTCTTTTTTAAAAAAGGAGAAAATAAAAGTCTTGTCTTTACTGCAAAGTGGGTGATAGATGCTGCTTGAGTAGAAGAGATATTTGTTGCCTTTAAGGACCACCAAACACAAAACTGTTCTGGAAATCATTGGGATCTGCTTATTTTAGCACCTGTTTAATTCCAGTAACGTTGGTTTCATTACATCTGACGGGGAATGCTTCTGTTTCTTTCATATTTCATTAGAGGATGTTTGTGGGAGTCAGATCTTGACAAACCATGTTAAAATTCTAGCAGTAGTAAGCATGAATTTTTCAGGAGGGGGTTATTTTTTCTCTGTTTTCTTTTAATGACCAATTTTCAATATCTTCCTATGTACTTGACAGTGGAACGTGTCGACGCTTGTCAGTGTGCTCATGCAGCATGCATTGCTCCGGAGTGGCCCAGTTGTTGGCAGAACAAAATAAGTTTTGTTACGTCCTCCGAGGGGCAGCAGCGACGTTTCAGAGGAGGGCTGCTTGTGGCTTAGATCAATACGCCAAACAGCCCAGCAAATTGACACTACGCAAATATGCTAAATGTCAGATGAGCTGAGGGATGATTTCTGCGTGGAGATTTGAAAAGGTTGGATCCATATCTTTATCTCGTATGGATACCCACCAGTGATTCTGCGTGGCGTGTTCAAGATAGTCTAAGCAAATTGCTGTAATGAGCTCAGAGGGCTGATAGGAAATAATGCTGTGTTGGTTTTCAAGTAGCAATAACATGGCAGGGAAAATGGATTGGCCTAGAACTGACTGGAGACAAACTTGACTGTGACTCAGACTGTGCATTATTTACTCTTCCTGCTCACGGCAGCTGTCACGGATGTCTCATAGTTTGGATCGAATGGTTTAAAAAAACCATGAGGCTGGATAGAGAAACAGCCGTGGAGACAAAAACTTATTTTTGTGATCACTGCAGACCTTTTAAAGAGACACTATGCAACATTTTTATATTTTTTTATCATTTTCTTGAGCCAGTATGTACTAAATGGACCCTTTACAGGGCTAACTTGTTAACTGCCAGCTGTTTCCTGATCAGAAAAGCCCTTTGATGTCAGCGTTTTACAGTGTTTTCACTGTTTTTTAAGAGTCACAGAACGTTGCACTCTAGGATGATGTCAACACCAAATCGACCAAAACAAAGTGGAGACTCACCTCTTGCATCAGGAAGAATCTGCCCGTTTTGAGCGTTATCCGTTCTTTCATAATCTGTTGCCACATTGTGATCAGCAGAAGCTTTCACGATTCGTTGCCTCACTTTTTTTACAGCAGCGGCCCAAAACGATCTCCTAACACATGGATTTTGTGCTTCCTGATCACGTGACATGTGACGTACGCCGATGAAGATCGGCTTTAGAGCTGCATGTTTGTTCTCACGGTGCGGGGGCTCGTTCCGACGCCCACACAGTAAAAAAAAAATGCAAATGACGATTTTAGTCATCAATGGCAGTTAATGAGTTAATGAAAGGCCACACAGCCCCCATCGCCCCCTACAGCCAGAATAGTCCACTTGCAACTTCAGAGCTGCCGGTTCGGTCTGCTCCAGGTATGGAGCTGACATACCTCGCGCTACAGTCTGCTTCCAGCATGTTTCCTGCATGTTTTAGATCATGAGCACAGCTGATTTGTTTAATTAGATATGAATCGCTCTTATAGACACTAATGAAGGGAGGGGAGACATTTCAGCTGTTAGAGTAAAGTGTTAAACAACGAGGAGAAAAGATGTGCTTTTGGTTCTACTAAATGGACACTAGGGGGCGCTAAAAACGAGCAAAAACTGCCTATTCTCCCTTTAACAAAATGCCAGAAGTTGCATGCATATGTATGGCATGTGTGTGTTTTCGTGGCCCCATGTCCTCATTCTGGACCATAGCCAGTTACTAAAGTTATTCTTCACATAAATCGTAATGCTAATTAAGAATTTAATTATTAATTTAATTAATTATTATTTATTAATTAAATTATTTAATTAAACTTACAGTGAGGAACTTTTTGGAGTCACCAACAGTGTGAGGGTTTTTAAATCATTCATTCTAGAGATTTGTAAAAAGGTACACATCTTCTCAACCTTGTTTCAGTTTTTTACATTTTAATCCTCTCCAAATCCATGTATTTGGGAAAACATTTGGGTTATACGCCAAATAAATCATGACTTGGAAAAAATAAAATATCCATTGAATCTTGAAAATAATCAAACTTTTAAGACTTACAGACTTTCTGAATTTGACTTTCCTTGCAGCCACAGAAGAGTAATGTTAAAGCATGTTCAACGCAAAGCACCAATTTTGAGTTTTAATTTAGGAGACTGACCTAAAAAAGGCATAAAAATTGTAATAAATGCATTTCACTGTTAATGGCTCAGTCAAACCTTCCACTTGAGGTCAGACACGTCAGATGAAGACTCACTTTTGGTGTTCCCTCAGCATGTGAATTGGCTTATTTTTTAGATAATTAGCTTGTTTTAATGAGTTCCAATGTTCTAATATCTCCTGTTTTTAATTGTCTTAATGTATATTTTGTGGGCCTTTGCATGAATTTGGTTCGCCTCCTGGCTGATGAAAAGTGATTTATAAATAAAGTTGATGATGATTATGAAACATATTTACATAATCATACATACATAACATAAGTTGCCATATATAGTATGCATAAGTTGATGGTTGAGATTCATTGTAGCCATTAATTATTAATTAACGGTCTAAACTACCCTCAGGTTGTGTTATTTTGGGTTGAGTCTTCTTACCTTTGCTATATCACGGGGGGGGGGGGGGGGGTAACTTGGATCAACTGAATGTCACATCAGTTTTAAACATGATGGTGACTTTGGAAGTCACACAGGGCCACGTCATAAGGTTGCTTTAGAGATGACGCTGTATGGTTCAAGTAGAGTTTAGCCTGATTCAATCAGGATGTTTAAAATAAGACTTTATTGTTTTTGTATCAGGGCTGGCTAGAGGGTGAAATGCAACTATGTGACAGGGATGGATGGATGCTGTGATCGTCAAGCATTAAATGCTTTCTCTGTTATTTTATAAAATCAATAGAAACGATTCCACCAAGGTACAGAAGATCAATGAAAAAGCTCAGGGATGAGTTTTAAGACACACTGAAAATACTCGCTTAAAGGAACGCGGATGATCTGCAGAAAAATTACATTTTGCTCATCAGTGAGAATCATTTTTATGTTTTTCCATCTGACCCATGGACATAAGCTTTAACCAGACATAGGAATGGAACGCATTAAGCCTGGTTCACATGGCAGGATAATCATACAGATTTTCAACTAGCCCCGCCCCTTCGGACAACCTTGAGGTTGCGCATGATTACCTTGTCAGCTCTAAAGATAATTTTATCAGATAACTGTACCTTTTGTGGTGTGTTACGAATCATCTGGTCCACTTGGAAGGACATCGGAATCACTCCAAACATAAATTTCTCGGTCTGATTTTGAGGACAAAAGGACTTGCTGCCTGGTGAATGTGATGTTTAGCCAATCAGAAAGGGAGGTGGCCAAGCATGCAACACAATCCTCCTCCGCCATGTTTGTTTACTAAAAAGTTACGTTTTATCTCACGAGGTTTCCCATCTTAGCGGGAAATGTCCGTAAGTGAATGCAGTGTAGTATGTAGCATTGGCCGAGTCGCTGCACGCCACACGCTGTATTACCAGAACTGGTTGTCATCATAGCCAACTATTTAAAAATCCTGCCATGTTAACCGGGTTTAAGACGAAGCCGTAATAAACCAAGCACACTCTAGTGGCCGGCGGCAGTATGAGTTTTAATTCCTGCACATTTCATGTAAACATTTAGTCAATAAATTGATGGCATCAGTTACTGAAGCAAAATGATTTTGCTCAACATGTCTGTCTACAGACACGCTTCACTGGAGCCTCAACAGATCTATCATTGACCTGCGCAGTATTGTGTTACGTCAATCGCAGCGCTCTTATCAGTTTTGTGGGCCAATCACAGCGCTGTATAGGTTTTATGGGCAGGATGATGCGACAGAGCGGAAGATGGCGACAGCTTGTTTGAAATGGCTTTTGCATCAACTTTAGACCATTTAGGCTTGTGCTCTTCTTCAGTCAAGAGCAGATAGAGGTACTTAAAGAGCAAGTCACCCCCTACAAGGGTCTTACTCCACTCCCACTTCCTGTTTGAAAAATGAAGCAAATGCTGTTGCCTGGCAGACCGAGAGGGCATAGCCGCTAACAAACACACACACACACACACACACACACACACACACACACACACACACACACACACACACACACACACACACACACACACAGGCTCACAATGACATTGTGACATCATAATGTAACATCATAATGTAACATCATAGTGTACCTCTTGGCCTATAGCGATGGCAGATTTAAATTCAAATGCAGTGTAGAGTTTTTACCAGAAGAGGGCGCAACACTGACAGTTTTAGACAGAATATTTAAATTTGAACTAGCTGCACTAAAGTGCTGAATAATTGACTACACTTGTCAATAATTGGGGTGACTTGCTCTTTAAGCCCTTTATTTAGAAAAAGGATGTATTTGCAGCTTCTTCTACCATTTAATGCAAATTGCCTCATTGCCGACATCCATAATGCTTAATTTGAATGACAACCGTACAATCCACCCCATGACTGAGCTCTATAAAAAGATTGTTTTCTTTCTTTATCATTATGACCAAATTATATATTCACATATGTTGGATGGCTTGCCAAGTTATTAAACATATGCAGCATTTTTCTGATTAAAAAATTACACCTAAAATGATTTTACTCCTGGTGTGGATTTCTCTAGATTCCTTTTGCTAATAGAATAAGCGTTAAATAATTTATTGGATTTATTTTCCAAAAATAAACTGGAAACTTGCACTCCTTTTAAATGTTATATTAATTTGATATAATAAAGTGATTTTCTGTCCCGTTTTGGTCTTGACCTCTCACCACACCGAAGGTCATTGGTGATTGCTTTTGACACAGAGACACTCGTGATGATCAGCGTGGTCTTTGTTTCTAACAATTTGCAGCAGTTAATGCTTTTGATGCCTCTCCATGGGGGACCTCGCCAACACTCCTCTAGACAGTGATTGTGGTTATTCAGAAGGTCACATGGTAAAGACATCGCGGTCAATAGAATCCAATCCACTTGTTGAGCAATCATGATCATTATTCCAACAAACAACAACACAGTAGTCCTGTTTTAGTTCTTATTTTGCTGCTGACAACTTGATATAAATTCAGCTGAGAGCTAAATTATTCCTGTTGGTCTGAGCCAAGCTGCAAATCAAAGTGATGGTCACACATCTGTCTGCGTTAGCGGGAGATTATTTGAAACAACTGCAGCTCCTGGCGTCCTGGCTTTAGCCAATGAAATATAATTAAGAGGATAAGAAATTGATCCTTGATTGTGTCCCCCATTAATGTGTATTAATGAGGCCAGTGTATTAAAGGTTTTTCTTATCAAGAGTCACTAATGAGTTTTAAAGCGATCAATATCACTAAAGCCGGTGCTTTAAGGGCAAACATATGAAGGCAGTAAGTTCAAGACTTCTCCAAACTCCTAAAACTTATAGCACATGAAACGTGAACTATAAACACTGACATTGTTGTTACTCCGGAGCATTGATTGTTTATTAGAGGTGCCGTTTAATCGTCAGAGTATTTACTTTCAAACTGGAAAGCATTCCTGCGAGCAGAGCTAAGGGCTGTTGTTATGCTGCAGTCTGTCTCATCGTTCTCCAGTGGTCTGTTGTTTCTGATGAGCTCAACACCTTCATTAAAACAAGAAGCCAAAGTAAAACATCACACTGCCTACTTGGTGGGATAATTCAAATAAATGATAAAAGTTTGTCTCCTCGGGGCTTCGAGGTGCTTCGTCGTCTTTTACCTTTTAATTTGACTCGGTGCAAGTCTGCTGTTCGATCGATCCGTTACCGCAAGGAGCATGAAAGCAGGGATTACACGTTGGGTGAAAACTGGCAGACAAATCCTGAATTAACTTTTAATTCCTTGTGAAGGGCATTGCTTCAAATGTTGCTGTTGTTTAAATGGTTTTCCTGCCAAAGTAGGAAAATGCTGCGTACTTTTGGGTGTTTTGTGATTTACTGTGTGCGACTTGCGTTTTTTTTCCTTCCAGTTTTCGCGAGCATCCTCTGTGTCTCTGCATGTGTAAATACCTCACAGTGTTTGTTCCTGTTATTGAGCCAGGCCCCCCCAGCCCTCCAGACTCAGTGACGGTGGAGGAGGTGACAGACAGCACAGCCCAGCTGGCGTGGAGCCCCGGCAGAGACAACGGAAGCCCCATCTCCAACTACCTCATCCAGACACGGACTCTTTTCACTGTGGGCTGGCAGAGGGTTAACGCAGGTACTTGGTGCTTGAAGTTACTTCATTTTCCTCTCCGAACACAGGTCATTTTATTCAGATGATTCAAATATCCCAGCTGGAGAAGTCTGGCTCTCTCACTCCCAGGCTGGCTGAGCAGGTCGGTGGGGTCAGCTGCAGAGCACTAACTTAAAAGATGATTTTGTTCAGAGTCTACCTCATGAGGAAAACAGGTTATTGCTGGTTCTTTTGTTTTATTTCATTAATTTAAAACATTTAATGACCATTTTCATGCGTGTGTTCACTCTCCTCAAATCTGAATGATTTTATTCACTTTTTTAGCAAAGGAAAACTTATTTTAAAACAAAAACACCCCTAATGAAGCTATTTCACACTTTCACTACTAAAACGAGGTGCTCAGTGTGTGAGCAGTAGTTTGGGCACCTTATACAGTTCTGAAGGCACAATTAGTGCTCTTGGGACCACATAGGTCAATGCGCGTTTGCGAACTATGGACCTCGTACATCACCGCGTGCTCCATAAACTGAACTGTATGGCCGGCGGTGAGATGCCTTTGTGTCCCCTCGTGGAGTTAACCGCCCACCGACCTTCCTCCTTCTACACTACTACCTCTCGCATGGACGACATCATCATTGCGTACCACCTGCGTGAGTGGCTTCTTCTCGTTATGCGCGTTGGGGACTATCCCGTTTCCTATCCTCTTTGTGCCTGACCAGGATCAAAGACCAAAGGCGCCAGGATCCAAGACAAAGACCAAAGACAAATGCGTCCAAGGAGACCAACGTCCTAAGGGACAAACCCACCTGTGCTTCCGACAATCAAGTCGACCTACGTTCATGAGGAACAAACCCATCTGTGCTTCCGACGATCGAGCTTTGGGCGCGATCCCCGAAACCAAAAGGGGGAATGTTGAGGGTCTGACCTCATGAGGAAATTACTATGCAGTGATTTTCTCCAAAATGACCGTGCTTAAATTGCTCTGAAAAGCAAATAATCACATCAGCGCCAAGAAACTTCATTTCCCATGATGCTTTGCACACGGAAGCATTGTGATGACGTCACCGCCTAATACCAGAAACACATTCTGTGCATGTGTGGGAGTCAGCGGAGCTTTCCCGCGAACTAAGACTATAAATCATCAGGAAAGACAAAGGAACCTCGTTCTTTTGCCCAGGATACCTGGCGGTAAGGACACGCTTGTCGAACGCTCCGACTCCCTTGAGCACGCGGAAGCTCTAAGTGCCCAAGTTGAGCCCACGGAACTGCTGGAAACTACACTCCAACTCCATCAGGACCTGACTGGGAACGAGCGGAGCTCCATCCAGCTCTCAGAGACGCTGTAAGTTGTCAAACTCAGCCCAAAAGAAACTTTGTTCTCTTTGTGTCCAGCCCGTTGGAGAAACACTCGTGGGGCCAAAACAACGGAGAAAGCATCAAACCGACGGACGACGCCAAACTGCGGAGAAACACGGAGAACCGTCAAATCAATAACAGCGGGGGACGCCTTGCTGTTCTGGTGATCAGAAAACTCATTTCTCTCTCTCCTTTTCTTCTCCCGTTTCCTCTATAGTCCAGAATAAGCAATAAAACCGCGCTATTGCTTAAAAAGTAGCTTCGTGTTTTCCTCTTTCGTTCCCAAACACGTCCGTCAGGTCATTTTGAAAGAATAAACTGCTTATTTATCATTGTTTGAATATCTTTAAAGGTTTCGGCCATGGCCAGGCTGATAAACTAAAAGATATTAACTTGTGATTAATCTTTTGTGTTGTTTCATGATCCTTTGAAATGTTTTGAGTGATTCAAGGTTAAGTTACTACTGATTCTAAGTGCTTTGGAAGTAAAGTGCAAGTTGCCACCCACACTTTAGCCAGACAAAGGGGTCAGCCATCTTGTATTCAAGACTCCATTTTGAATCCATACACACGCACACACACACTACTCCTTTGTGAGAACAAAGGACCCCATTCATACATCCTCCATCACACGCAAACACATCCATCTTCAATTATATCACATGGTTATTATTCATTTATGCCACAATTTATTCATTTGACAAATTGTTCAATTAAATGTTATAAAATTCAGATTTTCGTCTCCAGTAGCTTTGTTGTGTCGAAGAGAAGTCTCTGCTCCGAGGATTCTACGAACTTCAAGAAAGACTCCTAATAACCCCAACAGTGCTGAGTAAACAGGTTTTGTAGCAACATATGGAGCCACCAAGATAATGATCTTGATTATTTCTGCAGGACACACCCTGCATAAAGAAAGATCGGGACTGCAGTAAAAATAATTTATGCGATGAATGATGAAACAAAAAATAAACGAGGCCCCAGACTGCTTAGCAGCTGATGAATTTAGGGAATATTCTGATTTCATAACTGCAGTTGTTAGGTTCACCTCACTAGACGGTATGTCTTAAATAATCATTAAAAAATTGCAGTAATTTTGTTGTCAAATCAGATATTTTTTTGTAAAGTATTATCTTTCATAATTAAACCCACGCATTTTACCAAGTTTTGCGAACTGGACTTCTACTTGTCCCCCTGATTAAAAGATCAAATTTGATCTATTTCTCAAAGGAAAATACAAAAATGCATCAAAAATATTAAAGTGACAGTGTGTAGTTTATGCCATTAATCTCTGGAACTAACCATCAAAATGATGTTGCAAATGAATTAAAAGATGCTTAGCTGTTGAAAAATATTGGCGGTTTTAAGACAAATAACCCTAAAAATCTGTTCTAAAATACATGAAGTGTCTGGGTGACGCCATATTGGATGCCATGTTTCCCTCTGCGGAAGGCCGTGAGAACAAAACACATTTACTGATTTGTCACAAATGGTTACAAAACTTTCACCATTAATAAACATTGTTGTTTTACACATTAACCTATTCACTGGTTGCCAGCGATGAAAGAGAATCTGATGTTCTTGTTATTTTGCTGGAAGTTGGGCTCCCAGGGATTTTTGACCCTAATGGCCAGCCGCAAGGTCTTACTCAAACACAGAAGGAATGCTTGCTTGCAGACATTTAGGCAAGTACCGCCCCCTATTGCCTGGGAAAATATATACTGTCACTTTAAAGGGAAACTAGGCAGTTTTGCTTGCATTTAGCACCCCCTAGTGTCCGTTATTAAATCACTGTATGTAAACCAAAAATGAAACTTATCTCCTTGCTGTGCGTTTGTCTTTTTAAAACCTTAATCTAACAGCTGAAATGTCTGATCAGCCTTCATTAGTGCCTACAGGAGCTGTTCATCACTAAATCAAACAGATCAGCTGTGATCATGATCTAAAACATGCAGAAACGTGCTGGAAGCAGACTCCAGCTCCACCATGTCAGCTCCACTCTACTCTACAGCTCCCCCCGCCAGCAAGAACCAGACCACCACTCTGAAGTTGCAAGAGGGATATTCTGGCCACAGAGGGCGGTGGGAGTCTGAGTGACATTTCATTAACCCTATAAAAGTTCATTTTAGCACATACTGGCTGAAGAAAATGATTTTAAAACATGAAAAGGTTGCATAGTATCCCTTTAATAGTTTGCATTTATAATTGCAGATTATAATATAATATTGGTTAAATCAGAATTGTGTTTTCCTGAACTCTAATGAGCTCTTTGCTAATTTATTATTTTTTCTAGTTCCAGAGGTCATTGATGGGAGCACACTGACAGCCACCGTCGTAGACCTCAACGCCTGGGTCGAATACGAGTTCCGGGTCTTGGCCAAAAACAGCGTTGGAGTTGGAGAACCCAGTCCTGTGTCTGTTAAGACGAGGACAGAAGATGCAGGTAAAGTGAAGTTCATCTCCTCCTAGAATTTCATTTTACTCATGAAACCAAGCGTTTGTTCTGTAGTTCCAGATGCAGCGCCGGGTGATGTGGGTGGAGGAGGGGGAAGCCGATCAGAACTGGTCATAACATGGGAGGTAAATCATCAGTCATGCTCTAATCTCTTTTTTTCTTTTCTTTGTATCCTTGCGTAATGTGCTTCCTATTTCTGCCAAACGCTTGTTCTGTTGGACTTCTGGGCGTCATAAATTTGGAGCCATTTTAAGGCCGTTGCTGCGGTCGTTTTAATTTCTTTTAAAAAGTCTACAACCTGATAGTTAATTTCATTTATGAAGCTGGGATCACTGTCGAATTACTGCAGCTCAGTCAGGTCTGCCAGGCTGTCAGGAATACTCAACCTGTACGATTGCATCCAAGTCATTAAATGTGGGATTTATCTAAATTATTTCTCATTTAACTAAATGCAGAATAATATTTTTTTTTAAGCAAATGTTCAGTAGAAAGTGCAGATATTGGTAAAATTGTTCATTACTATCAGGTGGGTCAGAAAGGTGACATTGTAAGTGGTGTCTGTGGTGGTTGTGAGCCCAGCGCTGGAGTGAATGTGAGTGGTCTGTATGTATTTTAATATCACTATAGTTTTGTGTTTCACTCTCAGCCTGTTCCTGAAGAACTGCAGAACGGTGAAAGCTTTGGTTACATCATAGCTTTCCGCGCGTTCGGAGAAGTCAGCTGGACTCATGTGGCCACCTCTGCCCCCGGCGCATCTCGGTACGTGTACCGCAACGAAAGCATCGCGCCCTTCTCTCCATTTCATGTCAAGGTTGGCACTTACAACAGCAAAGGGCAGGGTCCCTTCAGCCCTGTGGTGACCATCTACTCAGCGGAGACAGGTGAGGATGCGAGACGGGGCAACTTGACAGAGCTCTAAAGCCATTTCTCGTTTTTGAAAAGGACAAAGATTACCAGAGTGGTTTTAGTGCGTTTGTTGCAATAGGCTGTAGAAATCAGTTTTAAAGGTAGAAAAGGGTAGAAAACGTGGGACACAATTGCAAGACATTTTATGTAAGAGTAGGCAGCTTGTCTCTAAATATCAGCACTCTCTCTCTCTCTCTCTCTCTCTCTCTCTCTCTCTCTTGAATGGCTGCACCAAAGTAAAAACCAGTTGGCATTTAGATCTCTGCTTCCTCTCAGCGTGCTGAGTGTGTAGTGTAGTGTTTGTCTTTTCACCAGCTGCACCTTTTTTGTGATGATTCATCTCAGCAGAGATCAACATTTATAAATGTAAAAAAATGTAAGAAATTTGCTCTGCTTGTCTCTGCGCTACCGCTCTACGGCGGAAGCGTTCAGCCTCGTTGTCGTCTGTTTTTCAGAGCCAAGCGGGATGCCGGCGGGAGTCTGGGCCAGAAGTGTCTCCGCCTCTGAGATCGAAGTGAATTGGCAGGCTCTCCCCATCACTCCTGAAAGGGTTCTGGGCTATGAGGTACTTTTTACTCACATAAATGGAAACAGATATCACACGCAACACAATTCAGAACGCTCGTCGTCACCTCTGTCGCACCTCAAAGCTGTCGCTTCTAAACTGTGTCGCCATGGAAATGGCCGCCTCATTTGGGCGACTGTTCTATTCGGAATTACACACTTCTTTGTATCAACATGACAGGAAAACATGTCAGATTTTTTTTTCTTTGAGAAGAGAAAGGAAAATTGCCTGCGCAGAAGCTGTTCTGGTGTCTGTGTCATTTATGGAAAACACGGAGCTTTACGGTTGCAAGCTGTGTGTTAGAATACTAAGGAGTGCCGTCAAAGCTCCGCGGAAACTGTAAAAACCCCAATAACTCACATTAGTGCCTCAGGAACCAGTGTGATCATTTCTGTCATGTTCATGTCAAAGTATATGGAATAAAGAGGATTGAAAAGTAAATAAGTTCAGGATGAGTGTCGCCTAAGATCGTTTATATTCAGGCTTAGGTAACATTTATTACTTAAAGTTATAACTTTGGTTGGCATTTGATCCGTAATAAACTATTCAAAAACATATTTTAATCAGTCAGATTTCAATTAGCAGAATGATTAATATTTCATACCAATTTGCATAATACGGATGTATTCTGGAGTTGAACAGTGAGACAATAAATCCACGCGTTGAGTGACAGGAAAGAAAAAAGCTTTATTGTTCATTTCTGTAATTGCTCATTTGTTTTGTTCGTTGAGCAGAAATGATTTACCGGTCCCTGCTTCTCTCCTTCGGGGATTTGCTGAATTTCTGCTTTTAAGTGTTGTCGGAAAAGTAAAATCAAACAAGAATAATGATCACATCAACATCGAGCTATATTCATTATTTTTGACGTTTTATGATATGATGAATTCATTTCAAAATGATTATTTATTTGTAATATGAATTAAAAACCTTTTATTTTGCTGTCGTTTTAATATAACTCATTTCTGGGGCTTCAAAGTGCAAAAGCTAATATCAGCTCAAGAACACTGACCTTTGGCAGAATAATTCAAAAGCAGCACATTTCTTTCACGCCGTCAGGAAGAATTTCAAACGCTATGCTCATAAACACATTCTGCTCCAATCTCAGACAGCTGTTTCATTTATATGCTAAGTGACACGCTCTCTGTCTCAAAAAGGTGGTTTACTGGGAGGACGACACCAAGCCAGAGACCATGGGGAAGGTTAGAGTGCATTGGAACCACACCTCCGTCACGGTACACAGCTTGGCAGGAAACACGCAGTATTTTCTAACAGTCAGCGCCTTCAACACGGCGGGAACCGGTCCCTTCCTCCCGGCAATCAACGTCACCACCAAAAAACCACGTGAGATGGAATTTTCTTCACATCAAAGGGATATTTTGGTCATTTTAAAACGTTTCTGTGTAAAGGTTCTAAATAATTTGGTTAGATAGCTCCCTGAACAGCCTCTGTTAGAAGAAATAGAGTTTAGATACTTGAGGATTGACATTAGAGCCCTGCACTAGAGCCCCAGGCCCGGGGGCCGGCCCGGCCCAACGCGCCCAAGGGCCGGGCTTCGAGCCAACGACTGTGTAATTACCTCAGACACGGGCCGGGCCGGGCACCATTATTTTTAATGAAATTCATTAAAAAATCTGAAACACTTAAACGCAGAAGCACCTGCCTGCTTCTCACGCACTGTTAGCTCAGTGAAGGTGTGTGTGGTTTATAAATGCGCCTATATGAAGGAATTCTCAAACTGCTGATTGAAACATGTGCCCCTGTTCTAATATGCCATTTTATGTCCACTTTGATGTGTCAGAAACCATTCGTTTATTCTCATGAAACGGCAGCATTCTATTTTTCTGTGAATAAATTCGCTCTGCAGTTAAAAAAAATACAGCATTCATTCCTGGTTTTTTTTTTCTAACTGGAGAGCGCATTTTCAGAGCGGCACATTAAATTTACAAACGCTATATTAACTGGGGGCATTTATTTAATCTGCCGCTCTGAAAATGCGCTCTGCAGTTAGAAAATTTGAACGCTGCTTTTTTTTCTAATTGCACAAGAGAGCATTTTCAGAGCAGATTAAATTTACAAACGCATCCAATTAATATAGTGTTCATAAATTTAATCTGCCGCTTGAAAAATATGCTCTGTTAGAAAAAAAAGCTGCATTGATGCTGTTTTTCTTTCTTTTTTTTTTTACTGCAGAACGCTTCCCACAGATAATTAGAATGCTGAGCATTCTATCACGCTAAAACATTATGTAAAGTTTTAAAAAAATTCGGGCTCGGGTCGGGCCAGAGAATCCTGAAAACCTTTTCGGACCGGGTCGGGCCGGGGCTCCACCCCCTCGGGCCGGGCCGGACACGGGCTCAGATTTTAGGCCTGTGCAGGGCTCTAATTGGCATGCCAACAGCTAGGCCAAAATAAATTATTTCCGTTCTCCCTAATTTTACTGTTGTTCTTGTAAAATGATTTTATAAACCTTTCAGCTGCCAAAATGTTCACATTATTCTGTAATTTCAGCAAACATATTTCAAGGGGAACTAGGCAGATTGGGCTTGCTTTTAGCACCCCCTATTTTCCGTTTGTAGAATCGAAAACAAAACCTATCTTCTTGCTGTGTTTTCATCTTTTAACACCTTAATCTAACAGCTAAAATGTCTGCCCAGCCTTTCTTAGTCTCTACAAGAGTGATTCATCACTAAATTAAACAAACCAGCTGTGTTCATTATCTCAAACATACAGGAAACGTGCTGGAAGGAGACTGTGGCGCCAGGTATCTGAACTCAATTTCCCAAAAGAGTGGCCCGCGAGTCTAAAGTTGCCAATGAAATATTCTGGCCACAGGAGGCGACAAGGGCTGGGTGGCCTTTCATTGACCCGTAGGGTCGTTTTAGCACATACTGCCTCAAGAAATTATTTAAAAATATGAAAAAGTTGCAAAGTATCCACATAAACACATTTTAAAAATTGCTGAAATATCCCTTTAATTGATAGTCGAGAGAAAAATGTGAGTGCTTTGAATGAAATTCTTTTTTTTATTATTGGATGTTCAAGAGACCACATAGACATGCAGAGGGATGCTAACAGAAAAGTCAGATTGTAAACTTGAAGCTGTCTTCTTTTATCATTCTTGGAAGTAATCAGATGTCCTAATTCCAAAGTGGACAGTAATTTGTTTTGATGCTGAACGTAGAAATAAACAGTTTTTGTGTCGTGCAGCGCCTGCCCAGCCACCGCTGAATGTTGAGTGGACCCTAATTGGCTCTCAGCTGTCTCTTTACTGGGAGCCTGTGGTGGCAATGGAATCGGAGTCAGAAGTCACAGGCTATCAAGTGAGTTTCTCCACGGTAGCATGTTTATTAATGTTCTGCAGTGGGCCGAGGCAGAGCTCGGGCTGTAAGAATACATATTTACATTGTTGTCGCCTCACTTGCTTCTCATCCTCATTCAGCTTTCATACTGGAGACAGAGACACAAAGAGGTAAACACTTTCACAACAGCCAACTCAACAGCGGAGCTCAGCCTCGCCGAGAACGACGATGACTACATCATTCGTATTCAGACACTGAGCGAGGGAGGACTGGGTCCAGCCTCGGATCCCATTCAAATCCACAAGCTCAGTAAGTTTGGATTTCATCGAGTTGAAGTTGGTGAGGAAGTGCTGCAGGAGACCGTAGCAGAATGGGAGAGCCTGACATGAACCCCCATTTCTCATAGCCTCTGCTGCCTTTGTGTGCTTTTAGCTTTTTACTGACTTCTAGAAATGAAACCGCTTGACTCTTTTTAATTCTGACAGGAATAGTTTGTCCTCCGTTGACTCGACATTACTAATGTCCCTTGCCACCCTCATTGGGCTCGTTTGGGTTGACGTTTTGCTGAAAAGTGCAACACAATCCATCTCTGTCGCAGACTCCCTTTGTACTAGATGCTGTTCCTGTCCTGTGGGGCTCTTTTTTGGCTTTAAATGCTGCTTTGCATAGTTGAAGTTCTGCATTGATGCTCTGAAAACAGCAGCATGCTGGATTTTTTTTAATTAAAAAAAAGTTTTATTTCTCTGAGTTTTTTCGGACACAAAGTGAAAGATGATGACAAAATGCATCAGCAGGCAAAATACAGGTGCTGGCCAGTAAATTAGAATATCATCAAAAGGTTGAAAATATTTCAGTAATTCCATTCAAAACGTGAAACTTGTACATTATATTCATGCAATGCACACAGACCAATGTATTTCCAATGTTCATTACATTTAAATTTGATATTCATAAGTGACAACTAATGTAAACTCCAAATTTGGTATCTCAAAAAATTAGAATATTCTGAAAAGGCTGAATATAGAAGACACCTGCTGCCACTCTAATCAGCTGATTTACTCAAAACACCTGCAAAGGCCTTTAAAAGGTCCCTCAGTCTTGTTTTGAAGGCACCACAATCATGGGGAAGACTTCTGACTTAACAGCTGTCCAAAAGACAATCATTGACACCTTGCACAAGGAGGGCAAGACACAAAAGGTGATTGCTAAAGAAGCTGGCTGTTCGCAGAGCTCTGTGTCCAAGCACATTAACAGACAGGCGAAGGGACGGAAAAAATGTGGTAGAAAAAAGTGTACAAGCTCTAGGGATAACCGCACCCTGCAGAGAATTGTGACGACAAACCCATTCAAAAATGTGGGGGAGATCCACAAAGAGTGGACTGCAGCTGGAGTCAGCGCTTCAAGAACCACCACGAGGAGACTCATGAAAGACATGGGATTCAGGTGTCGCATTCCGTGTGTCAAGCCACTCTTGAACATGAAACAGCGCAAGAAGCGTCTCGCCTGGGCCAAGGACAAAAAGGACTGGACTGATGCTGAGTGGTCCAAAGTTATGTTTTCTGATGAAAGCAAGTTCTGCATTTCCTTTGGAAATCAAGGACCCAGAGTCTGGAGGAAGAGCGGAGAAGCACAGAATCCACGTTGCATGAGGTCCAGTGTAAAGTTTCCACCGTCAGTGATGGTGTGGGGTGCCATGTCATCTGCCGGTGTTGGCCCACTCTGTTTCCTGAGGTCCAGGGTCAATGCAGCCGTCTACCAGGAAGTTTTAGAGCACTTCATGCTTCCTGCTGCTGACCAACTTTATGGGGATGCAGACTTCACCTTTCAACAGGACTTGGCACCTGCACACAGTGCCAAAACCACCAGCACCTGGTTCAAGGACCATGGTATCCCTGTCCTTGATTGGCCAGCAAACTCGCCTGACCTTAACCCCATAGAAAATCTATGGGGTATTGTGAAGCGGAGGATGCAATACGCTAGACCCAACAATGCAGAGGAGCTGAAGACGACTATCAGAGCAACCTGGGCTCTCATAACACCTGAGCAGTGCCACAGACTGATCGAGTCCATGCCACGCCGCATTACTGCAGTTATTGAGGCAAAAGGAGCCCCGACTAAGTATTGAGTGCTATACATGCACATTCTTTTCATGTTCATTCTTTTCAGTTGGCCAACATTAGAGAAACAAAAAATTTTTCATTGGCCTTTAGAATATTCTAATTTTCTGAGATACCAGATTTGATGTTTTCATTGGTTGTCACCTATAAATATCAAAATTAAACGTAATAAACATCGGAAATACATTGGTCTGTGTGCATTGCATGAATATAATGTACAAGTTTCACGTTTTGAATGGAATTACTGAAATATTTTCAACCTTTTGATGATATTCTAATTTACTGGCCAGCACCTGTATAGGGTGGTGTTAACAGAAAGCGGCATCTTTAAAGTGGTTCAGAATCCTTCTGGGGTGTCATGTATATTTATGAATCCTGGTAAGAGACTTGGTGGATGTCATTTTACTGCTAGAATAAAATCTGCTGGTTTATTATGGCCCTTTGGAATATTTTCTAACTTTTGTTCTGTTTATGATGATAAATACCACTGATGCACCAGTGTGTCTAACTTACACTGTTGCCCCAAGTCAGACACGTTCGAAAATCCTTTTGCGTGGATCGAAACGTAAAGAAATTGACTATAAATTTTTAAGCTTATCACTTATATCAGTGATTCCAAACAGGGGGTACTTGTACCCTTATGGGTACGTGGAAACGTCAACATTTAATTTCTCAGTTGATGGGCACCATAAGCATTTGCTGTGGTCTGGTTAAAAACAACGGTCTGGGATCAATTATACTTAACGGATACCTAAATGTAGGAATACAGTAAATTATAGTATGTAGTTGATATGATATAAATGTAGGCAGAGATGCTGTCAAGCTGCGTCAACTCTGGACGCACGTTCCTCCTAAATGAATAATGAACTCCGCTTTTATGTGAAGCCTCGTTCAGACCGAGTGCACGATGGACGCAGGCCACTTTCGCAAAGATCAAAATTCATCAAGTCCAACCAGATCCGTTAAACTGGCCGTTGGGCAGATGCAGAGCTGCAGAAAGTTTATGCATGGAGTCTATTTTTGTTTTTGTCTCCGCATTAGGATGAAGAGATGGATTCCCTGTGTTGTAACTGCCTTCTGTGATTGTGTACATAACGTGTCTGTGTAACAGAAAAATTTTGTACCTGTAACTTTTGCTGCCTCTTGGCCAGGAATTCCTTGAAAATGAGGGTTTAAAGAACAAATAAATATATAAATAAAAATTGCCACGAAGTTAAAGAGTTCACGTTATCCAGAGATGTGGTTCAAAAAGGTTGGGAAACACTGATGTATATGATGCACATTTCCTTTTTTTAAGCATTTTGTTGCAAATATGTGGCTGATGGATGAGCTTTTGCAGTCTTCTTTCTGCTTTTGTCTATGCGGTGTTTATTCAGTTCAATTCAATTCAAAAATACTTTATTAATCCCAGAGGGAAATTAAAGTTTCAGTACACACAATTCTGAGATCAGACATACATACAGACACATGACGAGAATTGGTGACTGTGGTCATTCGCAATCCAAGTCGCGCTACCGTTATAGATCAAGAGGGTTTATATGAGGATAGAGTCAGGGGGAGGGGAAAAAAAGGCACTTCAGCGTTTCCCTCAACAGAGAGGGCAGCTTTGCTATGCAAAAAATCACCTCGGACAGAAATGCAGACAGACTTCAGACATTACACAACATAAGTGTCCACTAGGTGGGGAGGTAGGGTTTGGACTCTCATCACTTCAGTGCGTGCAGCCGCATGGCGCAGCGCTCGTCACCTCTGTTTGAACAGGGGAGGGAGATAATGGGTTAGAGGGTACATTGACTCCAAGATACGGTTCCACGGCCTTCACCGGCATAGCAGCATATTTGTGATGTGCATTTATGGTTAAATATACTCCTGTCATGCAGAACGTGCACAAGCATCCGTGCAACATTTCTGCAAAAAAAATTTGGAACAAAGTTCATCATTGTCCAAAATGCCGCTGCGAGGTTTTCAACAAACACAGGTCGACATAGCCATATTCCACTAGTCCTGAAACATCTTCACTGGCTCCCCATCACATTTCGTGTGTTTTAAGATATTGATGTTTGTTTTTAAAGCCCTACACAACCTAGCTCCTCCTTATCTGTCCGACCTGCTGACTCCCTATGTGTCAGGTTCGGTGGGCTGAGCTGGAGTGGTTATGAGACCCAGGCGCGGAGAGAATGGTGGATGGAGACTGATATGTGGCAGCGTGGGAAGTTCTCTTCCCGTATGGTTTGTAGAGTTAGTGTCTTAGGTCTTAGAATGGCTTGGCGTCTATCGTTAGATGATGACTGAGTGCCGGCTCCGCTGTGACAGGTCCTTAAATAGGCTCAGCGGGATGACGTCACCGGGAAGCGTCGGTGACAGGCATGCTGGGAACTGGAGTGCAGCGCCAGCCCGGCCCGCAGAGGAGGTTAAGAGGAGGAGTTCATGACAGGACCCCCCCCCCCCCCCCCGCGAGGGACGGCTCCAGAAGGCCCAGGGCGACGAGACCAGAAATCAGCCAACAGGGAAGGATCCAGAAACGAGCGGGCAGGCTCCCAGCTACGTTCCTCCGGACCGTAACCCTGCCAGTCCACCAAATACTGCCATCCACGGCCCCGGCGGCGGGCGTCCAGAATCTTGCGGACGGTGTAGACGGGGTCCCCATCGACATCTCGGGGCGTCGGCACCCGGGCCGGAGGCGGATGGAGAGGAGAAGACACCACCGGCTTGAGCTGTGAGACGTGGAATACCGGGTGCACCTTAAGAGTGGAAGGGAGGCGCAGCCGGTAAGCGACCAGACCGAGGACATCTCGGACTGGGAAGGGCCCCAAAAAGCGAGGCGACAGCTTCCTGGAACCAGCCGGAAACCGGAGGTTTGCGGTAGAGAGCCAAACCCGGTCACCAGGCTGGAACACAGGGCCGGGCCGGTGGCGGCGGCGGTGTTGTCGGGAGTACTCCGTATTAGCCCGGGTGATGGCGGCGCGAGCCCTGATCCAAGCGAGATGGCAGCGGCGGACCATATCCTGAGCCGCCGGAACCTCCACCTCCGGCACCTGATGGTCAAAAAGAGGGGGCTGGTATCCGTAGCAGGTCTCGAAGGGCGATAGACCCGTGGCGGAGGACGTCTGGAGGTTGTGAGAGAGCTCCGCCCATAGGAGGTAACGAGGCCAGGTGGACGGTTGAGACGAGGCGAAGCAGCGTAAGTAACGCCCAAGCTGCTGGTTTGCTCTCTCCGTCTGACCATTAGTCTGGGGATGATAGCCTGACGACAGACTGGCGGAAGCGCCCACCAACCGACAGAAAGCCTTCCAGAAATGTGAGATGAACTGAGGCCCTCTGTCAGACACCACGTCCTGGGGGAATCCGTGGAGCCTCACCACATGATCGAGGAGGAGCTCCGCCGTCTTCTTAGCCGTGGGGAGTCCTGCCATAGCCACTAAATGCACAGCCTTCGAAAAGCGGTCGGTGATGGTGAGGATGGTGTCCAGGTGGTCGGCAACGGGAAGCCCCGTGACAAAGTCCACACCTATGTGCGACCACGGCCTTTTAGGCACAGGGAGCGGTTGCAATTCCCCGGCTCCAGGTTGGGTGGTGGACTTAGACTGGGCGCAAGTGTCACATGCAGCGGTGTATTCACGCACGTCCTTTCTCATAGAGGGCCACCACAGGGCCCGGCGGAGGAACTGGAAGGTACGAGCCTGGCCTTGGTGTCCCGCGAGCCGTGAACTATGCCCCCACCTCAAGGCCTCCTGTCGACACACGGCCGGAACGTAAAGGCGGTTAGGAGGCGTCTCTGGGGGCGCCGGGTCCGCCGGGAGAGCCGCCCGGATGGAGGCTTCCAGGGGCCATTGCAGGGCGGCCAAGAACCGTTCGGTCGGGAGGATGGACCTCGGTTCAGGAGGCCTTGGATCCTGGGTGTGTTGACGGGACAGGGCGTCCGCCTTGAGGTTCTTTGAGCCGGGGCGGTAGGCGATGTGAAAGTTATAAGGTTCGAAAAAGAGGGCCCACCGGGCCTGACGAGGGTTGAGTTGGCGAGCGGTCTGAATATGGATGAGGTTCTGATGATCAGTCCAGATTAGAAAAGGAGTGGGGGTACCCAGGAGCCACTGTCGCCACTCCTCCAGGGCCCACTTTATCGCCAACAATTCCTGGTCCCCGACCCCATAGTTCTGCTGGGTAGGAGAGAACTTCCGGGAAAAGAATGCGCAGGGATGGAGTTTGGAGTCCTGGCCACGTTGTGACAGTACGGCTCCCGCGCCCGTCTCAGAGGCGTCCACCTCCACAACGAAAGGCCGGGTTAGGTCCGGGTGGAGGAGGATGGGCTCGCTTACAAAGCGGCGGACCAGCTCATGGAAGGCAGCAACAGCCTCCGGGGAGAGGCGGAAAGGGCGAGGCTTATTGGTTGTTTTCGTCAGGGAAGTTAATGGTGACGCCAGGGCGCTGAAGTTGCGGATAAACCGGCGGTAGAAGTTGCAGAACCCCAGGAAACTCTGCAACTGCTTCAGGGTCTTGGGTAGTGGCCACTGCGCGACCGCCTGAACCTTCTGTGGGTCCATGCGCAGGCCCTGGGAGGAGATGATGAATCCCAGAAACGAGGTGGACTCCTGGTGAAAAGCACACTTCTCCAGTTTACAGAATAAGTCGTGCTCCAGGAGGCGTGACAGAACGGCTCGAACATGCTGGGTGTGTTCCTCGGCCGTGCGGGAGTAGATGAGGATGTCGTCCAAATAAACAAAAACCCAACGACCCAGCATGTCACGGAGGACATCAGTGATGAAACGCTGGAAAACGGCAGGGCTGTTGCAGAGGCCGAAGGGCATGACCAGGTACTCATAATGTCCAGTGGGTGTAATGAAAGCGGTTTTCCACTCCTCTCCTTCCTTTATGCGGATGAGGTTGTATGCACTGCGGAGGTCCAGCTTGGTAAACAGTGTGGCTTGGGCAATGGCGTCCAGAGCCGTGCTCATTAAGGGAAGAGGATGGCGGTCCCTGATGGTGATTTTATTCAATCCACGATAGTCTATACAGGGCCGGAGGTCACCTTCCTTCTTCTTCACAAAGAAGAACCCTGCCGCCCCAGGAGACGTGGAATGTCGGATAAACCCCTTCTGGAGAGCCTCATTGATGTAAGCGTCCATCGCCTGGGTCTCTGCCGGGGAGAGCGAGAACAGCCGACCCCGAGGCGGGGTGGTTCCGGGCTGAAGCCTGATCTCCAGATCGTAGGGGCGATGAGGAGGCAGCTTGGTGGTAGGCTCCTTTGCAAAGACCCGAGCCAGATCGTGGTATTGGGGTGGAAGGAGTGTTAAATCCACGTCCTTGGGTGGTGTCTCCCTAGGCTGTGATCCTGGAAGGAGTGTTAAATCCACATCCTTGGGTGGTGTCTCCCTAGGCTGTGATCCTGGAGACGGATGATGAAGGCGACAGTTAACACCCCATGCCATGACTTTACTGGTGGACCAGGAGATGTGAGGGTCGTGGAGGCGGAACCAGGAATGACCCAGAATGAGAGGAGTCGTAGGGGCGTGAATGACCAAGAAATGAAGGGTCTCTACGTGTTCTCCGATGGTCATCCGGAGGTTCTGGGTTCGGTGCGTGATCGGATATGGCATGAGAGGGCGCCCGTCCACTGAGGTGACGGGAACGGGATGATCGAGGAGGGTGAGTGGAATCTTGAGCCGGTTGACCAACCCCTGATCGATAAAGCTTTCTGCAGCTCCGGTGTCGAGGAGGGCCACCAGGGGGACCGGTCCTTGGCTCAGCTGGAAGGAGACCGAGAGGGTGGTGTGATGAGGAGCTGCATGAGTGGAAACTCCGAGTGAGGCAGCTCCTACACCGACCCGGAGGGACCGTTTCCCGGGCGTATGGGGCATGTTGCACGGGGATGACCCAGAGCCCCACAATAGGCGCATCGTCCCTCCTGAAAACGGCGCGCCCGTTCCTCGGGGGGCAAATGACCCAGTTGCATGGGTTCCTCCATGGGTTGGTTCTCCTGACGGCGGGGGAAAGTTCGGGATTGTACGGGAACCGCCCTCACTCCTGGTCTGGTGAGGAGGCAGCGGTCCAGCTGGAGAGCCAGGTCCACCGCCTGGTCCAGGGTGGTTGGAGCCTCGTGACCAATCATGCCCTCACGGATGCGGGGTGACAATCCCTCCAAGTACACAGCCTTCACCGCGGCATCACCCCAGGTTAGACGGGCAGCGGTGGTCCGGAAGCGTGAGGTGAATTCGGCCACGGTCTGAGAGCCTTGTCGAAGCTGGAGCAGGCGTGTCTCATCTGCGACCTCGCTGCTGGGATGAACGAATGCCTTCTTCAGTTCTTTCACGAAGGCTTCATAGTCGTTGCAGACTGGGGACTTCTGATGGTACAGAGCAGCCGCCCATTCACCGGCTCGCCCAGTCAGCAGGGAGGTTAACAGAGCCACGCGAGAGCAGGAAGTCGGGTAGCGTGCCGGCTGACACTCAAAAGTCATTGACAGAACGGCCAACATGCTCTCCGGGGATCCTTTAATCCCATCCCATTTCTCTGGGAGACTTAGATACGGCTCCACCACGTTAGGAGTGGCAGATGACTGTCGTTGGAGGGCTGAGGAGAGTTGGACTACCAGTTCGGTGACGGAATCGAGTTTGGATGCGAGGCGATCAGTAACAGCACGCAGCTGATTGTTCTCCACACGGAGTTGGGCGTTGTCCGCCTCCTGGCGTTCTACTCGGCTGAGCAGCTGCGCTACCTCAGCTCGCAGCTGTGCGGTCTCCGCTGGGTCTACTCGGGACTCAGTCATCCTGTCAGGTTCGGTGGGCTGAGCTGGAGTGGTTATGAGACCCAGGCGCGGAGAGAATGGTGGATGGAGACTGATATGTGGCAGCGTGGGAAGTTCTCTTCCCGTATGGTTTGTAGAGTTAGTGTCTTAGAATGGCTTGGCGTCTATCGTTAGATGATGACTGAGTGCCGGCTCCGCTGTGACAGGTCCTTAAATAGGCTCAGCGGGATGACGTCACCGGGAAGCGTCGGTGACAGGCATGCTGGGAACTGGAGTGCAGCGCCAGCCCGGCCCGCAGAGGAGGTTAAGAGGAGGAGTTCATGACACTATGTACCTACTCGTATGTTGAGGTCAGCTGGCCGTCTACTGCTTTGCACTCCCCGGATGTCCTACAAATCACAAGGTGAACGTGCGTTTGTCCATGCTCTGGAACTCATTGCCCATTACAGTTAGGCTGGCATCTTCTCTGCCTGTTTTTAAATCTCGTTTAAAAACCTACTTTTGTGACTTGGCTTTTAGACAGTGATTCGTGTTATCGTATTATGATTTTATAGTTTTTATTGTTGTGTTTTATCTTCTTATTGTTTTTACTTTTGTTTTAATTGATCTTGCCTGTTCAGCACTTTGGTCAGCTCTCACACTGTGTCTTAAATTGTGCTATAGAAATAAAGTTGGTATGGTAGGATATGGTATCAAACTGGGAGCAGCTGTGCTCTAATCACAGCAGCATCTAACATTTATAAATCTGTTATGCAGCACAATTTGCTTTATTTTTGGCAGATATCCCTTTTAGGTGCTGATAGGGACCTTTTCTGTTATTAACGGGTGGACATTTATCATCGAGGACCACAAGGAAATCAAAGCATTTAAAAAGCACACTGATGCTGAAAGTATGAACATCAATATTTCTATCCCTGAAGTGGTGTATATAGGTGACATTTCAAAATGGCTGTGCCCATTCTATGGATTTTTTATTTTTACATGACTGATAATCCCATGCTTCATATGCTAGTGTAAAGGGGCAATATTGTGTTGTTATTTTTCTTCAAGAGAAGTGCAAATAAAGCCATCATTTTCTTCTTAACCTTGTTTTTTTTTTTTGCGTTTCAGGTATGAGTGCCCGTGGCTCCAAAGCCTGGAGTGTGGACGTTTCACCACTCTCCTTGCTCCTCACCATTGCAATATCAACATTCAGGTCAACGTTGTGACACGACTTTACTCTCTCCTGTTTTCTGAAATTTACTGGTATATTTTTAATATATAGTTTATGAAAATGGCCATGTTTCTTTTCTTTTTTTTTTCTTGAGATGAAAGTTAATTAAAAAGTGTGAGGCAGCGCAGGAGTAGAGCGTGCCGTTGCTTAACATTAGGTGTTTGCATTTTATTTTTTTAAATGTGGGTCTGACATTTTTTGCCAGATGAGGAAGAAAAAAGTCCATTTCAGCTCCTTTTTATCCCTCTAGAATGATACAGATGCCTTACTTCCATTCATGTGCCAAAGTAGTTTCAGTCTTCTTGTTCTATCAAAGATAGCAACATACTTTTCTTCTTCACCATCATTTTACTGCAATTTAAGGACTCTGTGCACCTCACAGATGATTTGTTTTTAAATATTCAACTGTTTTCATACCTGAATCAGAAAGTTTTAACTTGTCTGATCACCCATGCCCGTGCCTTTGGAGATTCTTGTAACGGCCTCACTTATAGACGCTGGCAATTGACAATGTCACGGATCAACCTGCAGCCATTTCATCTTTATTTTCTCCATCAAGTCCTAAAACACCTCAGAGCATCAATGATTTCCATGATACGGTTTGCTTTTGGAAAGCTGGGTGTTTAAACGAAGTCTCCCAGATGTTTTCACACCACCAATTAGTTATTTTAGTGGCCAGATGTTTGACAGACTGGACTCTGCTTTTGCAAGCAAACAACTCGGAGCTTAGAGGCTGAGGCGTACAAGTGCCAACGTGTTTTTCTTGTTCTAACACTTGCACAAAAATATTCGCCACCTGAAGAATGCCAAAAAACAAGAAGATATTTATAAACTTTAAACTGATTCTACATGTGAGAATTTAATTCTCCCTCCAAGGTGGGCGTCAAAATGTTTGTGTCCATCAAATTCTAAAACTAACTTATCTAAACCCTTAAAATAACAACCAGAAGGGCACTGAGTGACTTGGATGCTTTATTTTCTGTTAGACGTCATATCACAAAACGTTCAATAGCTTCTTTATGTTGAAACTCCTGCAGCTTTCGGTGCGAAGCAGCAGGTGAGCAGCAAGAATGACATTTAACAAGGAAGCCTTCGAAAGCTTACATCTAAGAGCAAGAAAGAAGGGCTTTAGAAAGGCTTTCATGATAGCCTCATATTTTGGGAATGATGCTAATTTTTCAAAATAAAAGTGTGGATAAAAATGTACACCAGGATGATTAAAGAAGGCTTAAATTGAAATAAGAAACTCAAATTTTAAGCACTTTGTGGCTTAATTGCAACAAGAACATGTTCACCGCTGCGACATTAATTTTATTTGGAGTTACCTCAATTGCCCCATGAAAGCTTGTCATATATAAAGTGTAATATATGCGACAAACTGCGGTTTTGTGTTGCCATCCAGTGAGCATGCCCGTATCTAACGAAAGGGGAGTGCTTCACCACCGTCCTGAAATTTTAAGAGGATTTCTAAAGTGCTACCTCCCTATTCGGGGTTAATTTTTACCCGGGTAATGTGCTTTAGCTCCGTTCTTGTAGCGGATACACGCTGAGCAGCCTCAGAACAGGTTCCTGAGGTGCAAATATGACCCTTTTCACAAAGAATGGATGAGAGTTCACAAAGATCTAGTTGGCTAGGTGTGCGAGGCCTCCAAAAAGGTCGCTTAACTCATTTAATTAAAAAACAAACTATACTGTGACTCAGAAACAAGTTAAAGTAAACTGGGGGGAAAGGTGTTTTTCGATTTTTGGGGTGCGCCACCATCTCCTAACCGTCACTTCTTCTGCTCGTTAAAACATTCCTCCTCTTAGCTCCCTTCACAGTGTTTTTACTTACCATAAAAATTTCACGAGTTACATTTTCAAGCAAGGGTAAACCAGACTAAAGTGGCCACATAGTGGGAATGAAGTGGATGTTGCGTTTGTGATGCTTTATTTCTGTTTCAGCAGCTTTGACGTTCCCGCTCTGGAGAGTTTTAACGTCTACACTGTTACATACCCTCTAATTCAGTTTTAATTCAGCTTAATTGGAGGTTTGGATACATAATCATTACTATTTTGGAACTGATGATATATTCCAATTGGAAGCCTAAAAAGTGCTTTAACAGTTGCACTTCCACACTAGTGTGACTTTTCAGACCCAGCAGCTCATCTCTCTTTTTGTGTAGTCTAATGATCGCTCTCACCGAAACCGATAATCCGGCGTTCACCTCACATCCACTTCACACTCACTTCGCACCACACGCCAGGCATGAGGAGGTGAGAAAGTAAGCTGGGTTTGGACCTCCATCTCATTTGTTTTGTAACACATCCTTGCATTTGCAGCTAAGCACGACCTTGCAAATGCCTTTTGTGAAAGAAATGTTCTGTTATTTTCATATCGGAAGAATTATTACAGTTTATTCCTTGCTGATGTTTAAATTACTTGTGCATAAATGTCGATTATACACCTCTACTTTGTGGCGGCGTCATTCCCAGCTACAGGTTTAGAGGTCCTTCGAAAAAAAAAATCTGAAACGAAGGGACACCTGATGACATGTTAGAGTCCCGAATGTTCTGCCTCCATGTGATAAAATGTTGAATCATTGAAGGCTGCTGTTATATTGATTGGACCAAAAACACAAAGCAATCAGAAAAATATCACCTTGAGTTCTTGGAAAAACTATGAGATTTTACAGCCTGTGTGATTTATAGGACTTGATTATCAATAGTGGGGGGGAAGTATTAGTTTCAATCCTTTTCCTCATCCATCTGGGCGAGGCTCAGTCAGTGCCAGTCGATATGCCTCATCAGCCATTGTAGTCGGGACGGGCGTTTTTCAAGTGCTGCCAATTGTGCCAGTCTGTTAACCGAAATCTAGCCACCAGCTTTGACATCGTTTGGCTAACTCTAGCTGTGTTTTAATACTTTGTGAATTCGTCCTTTGTTGTCGTTTGTGTTTTTCGGCCCTTTTTTTAACGTGTGTGGTGTGTGTTGCCTTTGTTTATGTGTTTGAGTGAAACGCCGTTGCTCAGGTATTCAGACGTGCTTCACTCCATCGTTCAGCGGCTCCAACGTGACAGGAGTTAATAGATCAGAGAGGTATTAGCACAGAACACAATGGGCTATTTAATGGTCTGACGTGATGAATGGAAAGCCTGATGTGGACCACGATATAGCAGACATTCAAACATCTTAATAAATTAGAGCAGGCCTGAGGGGGGTTCGGAGGGAAAGGGCACGCGAGTAATGGTACTAATGACACCCGCACAAGACTAATATATCAGGATTTAGGGAAGACTAAATCAGAACATTTTTGTCAAGATGGCTTCAGTGTGTGTGTGTGTGTGTGTGTGTGTGTGTGTGTGTGTGTGTGTGTGTGTGTGTGTGTGTGTGTGTGTGTGTGTGTGTGTGTGTGTGTGTGTGTGTGTGTGTGTGTGTGTGTGTGTGTGTAGGGCTGTGTATGGTTATTACTTTTAGCCTAGTGTCATGGGCAAGTGATTTCAAGAGGACCGTTCTGCTACTGAAAGAAAAATGGTTTAAACTCGTTTTCTTTGCTCTTAACCATCGTTGTCTGCCCTGAATAACTGAAGCATTGCGGACATTCAAGTAGAATAATGCAAGGTCAGCGTCGGAGGTAGGAAAAATGACTTTGACCTAGTCAGGACTCAGAGTGTCTATTTTTCTGTTAAATAATCTTAGGCTGCCAGAGCAGAAGGGAAAACTGAGGGGAAAATCTGCTGAATTCAAGGCTGCATCAGGTTCGTCTTGCTGGAAAATAACTTGTCTAAAGTGTAAAGATGAAAAGCAAAAGTTTTCTCTACATCTGATGAGCGTTTTAACCTGAAACCTGCCATTTATTTTTTTGATGGGTCCCTTTATTAACGTTACTTGGTGAATTATTAAAGTAGCAGTGTGTAGTTCCCTGCCACTAGGGGGCAGTACATACATTTCAGGGTAGTTTTACATATCGCTGTGACTGTTGCTAGTTTATAATAACATTACGGTAAATGTTGTTACCTGTGGAGCAGAAAGCATGCAACCTCGGCATGACTCCTCTCACTTTGGTGGTCCTTCAGTTAATTCCCTCGAACGGATGCAATGCTGATGCTAGTTTTCTGGGGTTGTAGTTTCCAGATCTGCTCGGAGTCCTGCGCCTGCCGATAACATCATCTTACTACGGCAATATCACTCGGCCAAGATCTATTGCAACTCTCTTTTGATTCTGTTCTTTCACATAAATTTTGGAAAGAGTTTAGCAGTTTTATTAATAAATTACATGATTCGTTTTCGAACGTGGTGAAGAAATGACAGTAAATCATACATCCCCACTGTGCAAAGACCTAGTTTGGACATCCTACAGACGGGGTCTGGACCGACAGACTCAGTATAGACATGATCTGCACGTCCATGCGACGTTAACTGTTTGCAGGGTCCAGCCAATCATCTAGTGTGATGTCATCAACAGGCGCAGGATCCTGAGCTGGCCAGAAGGAAACATGACGTCTAATGTGTTGTCCCCCAAAGATGCTAGACCCGCGCCCCATGTACATCAGACCTGATTTTTATGGTTAAATTTTACAAAGCCACCAATAGTTTTCAACGACTGGGCATCATTTTGTTCATTTTCAACAGGATTTCGATGGATGTTTCCAGAGATGAATCATAAAAATACACATTGTCACTTTAAACTTTAATAAACTACTAAATAAAGTATTAGCAACTACTTAATGTTAATATTAAGTAATGCTTTACTAAGTAGACACCTCCCCACCCGGCCCTTTGTACTAACCTTAAAGACATTTAATAGTTAACAGTATCTGAAATTTTAATAAAGGGATCCTTTGTTTATTAATGCTTAATAATGCACTAAGTAACGTTAATAAAGGGATCATTATTATAAAGTGTTACTTTTTTTCTTTTATATGTGGACAGTTTACCTATGTTTTGTCTTTCTTAAACAGAAAACTCCATCTTTTGCAGCTGTTGTTTAGAATCAAACGAACTGAAAAAAGGTTGCATTTGTATCTTTGGTTGCATTGAAACATTGTCAGCCTCTCTGTTTTGTAATGTACCAGTACTGTGGAGATCATTTGATTTAACATTTTTTAATGTTTGATATGGATCTTACCTGTTATTTGTTTTTGTTTTTTTTTTTGTTTTTTTACTGAAAAATATTCTGCACAAAGGTCAAGTGTTGTTTAAAAGTAGTGATTAAAGCCACTTTTTGCTACTGCTAAAGCCAGTCTTGAAATCTCTCTTGCCTTCATACAGTATATAATACATACTGTATGTATTACGCTAAACCCCTATTTCCAATTGTAATAGTCAAACTTTGAAAAATAAATGACTACAGACTCTTTTGCTAACAGCTGCTACCACACACACACACACACACACACACACACACACACACACACACACACCGGTTTGGTGAAATAACCGATGCACAATAGCTCTCTCTACCTTTGTCTTTTTTATACAGCTTTACCATTTTCAGAGATGGCAGCATTTCGTGCTAAATTTGTAATTAAATTAAATTGAAAGAAAAATGTACTAGTTTGTGTTTTGGGTGACAACGCTTGACCTTTCTATTGTGACTCCTCAGTATTTCAGTGTCCAGGTGATCTCTATGAGATCGTGTCATTAATGTTTTCACATTGAAAAGTCATCAGCTGATCTTGAAATGCTGAAGATGTGCATGTATGACATTGTTTGGTGCATTTTGGTGTTTTTTAAATGAAGGAGTTAATAAAAACAGTTCACTGAGAATTTTCTCCTGGATTTATTTATTTATTTATTTTTGCTGTCACCTTCAGCATCAGCAGTTTTAGTGTCTGTACTGCACGGGGAGAGACTTGAGTAGAGCAGGGGCGTGTCCAGGGAGTGGCCTGGGGTAGCACATGCCACCCTTGGAATCTGATTGGCCACCCCAGGTGCCACCACACTAATTTACCTTTAAATAGGCTTTTCATTGTCCACAAAAGGCTTGGGGGTAAAACAAAAAAAGCATAACCATTGGTGCTACCCATGCGCAAAATTGTGCCTCACCTGGGCCACCCCATTTTAAAAGATCTGGACACACCACTGGAGTAGAGCCTTGGAGCGCTATCAAAGCTAGAAAATGCATCATATTTTTAAAGCACATAAATTGGGGTGAAATGCAACAATAACAGATTAATAATATGACAAAGTTTATTAAATCTGGATTAATACGTCATTATAAAGACTGTTATCAGTGATAACTCAATGGTTTCAAAGTAATATAGCACTCAATATCTTTAGAAACGAACACATCAAGTTGCTGGTTTTGTGCAGCGACTTTCCAACAGATGCTGATTCATTTCTTTGAATTATTAGTGCACGTGTGTGCCGAAGTTTGGTTACTCTCCGCTGAAACAACAGAATGACATGGAAAGATGCTGTGAAATATTGATCCAGTCAGTGTTGCGGAGATGCTTTTAAGATAATAAGAAGGAGAGGGCCTCGTGAAGAAATCGATTTGAATGGGAAGTGAAGAAAAGAGAGGTTTCTCCCCACACACCACAGATCATTTATAATGAGCTGGCGTGTCAATACTTTGGCTCTTCTCATGTATTGACCACTGGATCACAGCAACACCCGGTTTTTCTAATTTGTTTTGGCAACAAACACTGAGGGGAATGAATACATTTACAGTTAGGATACCTTCATCCTTGGTCAAACTCTGCAAAAAGAATAAGCTTTCGATTCAAATATAATATAGATGTCTCTTAAACAAATATTGGTGGAGACATGACTGGTGCATTTTCCTTTTTCCAGTGCTGCAGATGCTGAGGAGTGGTTTGCACACTTTACAAATGTAAACACTGCCCCCTCATGGTACCAGAGTCCTGGTGCATCTTTCTGTCTAAACTGGATCAAATGGGGCGATAAGAGAAGAAATCTTGCAGCGTCTGCAGTCTCACTGCATTGGATGGATGCTCTGCTGACCAGAGCACAGTCCTGCGGGATTTGTGACCAACATCCTTTCAGATTTGTAGTGAGAGTAGCCAGCATTACAACAATACACAGCAAATATTCCAGATTTATATCATTTAAACCAACAATTATTTTATCTATTTGTTGATTCAGATTCAGTTTTTGTCTTTTCTTTATCATGTAGAAAATTAATTTATATGTACAAACACTTGTAAAAATGTTGCTATATTGAATAACTTCAAGCTTTTCAACAGTATTTTGTACACTATTGTACATTATTTATGTGTTTCGTTTATTATGTTTACATTTTTGAGTGTAGTTTCAAATCAGAGAGCAACTAAATCAATTTTAAAAGATTTTATGAGTATTCACTCCTGTGTAATGTTGACACTGTCCACTCCATGCCGAAAGGGGGCGCTGTGACCCTACTGCTCTACCATTAACACTGAAGGTAAAGGTGGCGCTGTTTCCGTCAGGCACTCATTTACACAACTCAAATTTAGATGATGAATTCTTCAAAGAGTAATGATGCCACGGACAGCAGCTGTCAGGGAGGTAATTTGGACACTACTGAAGAAGTGAAAGATGAGCTATGTCCTGGTTTCAAAGACGCGGACACCTTCGTTAAAGTAAGTAAACAAAACAAGCTAGCTAGCCAGTTTTTAGCTTATGCTAACAGTCCAACGTGGGTGAGCTGGTTGGCCAGTTAGCAGGATCATCATTGGGAGTAGAAGTCAAGCAAACCAGAGACAATGACTTAACTCTATTCATAAATTAAAGGTGCAACGGTGTGGTTGTGTGTAACGAAGCTTTTTGCCAACTAGCTTTTGACAGCTTTTTCATTTAGGGATCCAAATCAGCAGTAGATATAAGCTGATGATTAGAGCAAAATATGTTGCTACAAGCTTTTATTCCACTAGATTCGGGGTCTGCAGTATTTAAGCTTAAATAACCTTTTTATTGTCAAATATAATTTAATAAAATAAACTATGAAGGCATGGCAGCTTTATTTGTGTAATGCATTTCATACAACGAGGCATTTAAATAAATAAGGAGCGCATGAAATATTTAATTTTGATTTAAAAGTTGCTAGAGTTGGGGCACACAAAAATCACCATTAAATTAAGACAAATGTTTAGATTTTTTTCTGTTTAGATTAGTTCTTCATATATTTTTTCTGTTTGGTCAAAGTTACATTTGGCCCCATCAGAAAGAATGAAAAGCTGCATTTTCCAACAGCCAAGCTTTTAGGCAAATCAACATCACATTTAAATCAAACCAATGAGATTTTAAATATTATTGCATTATTATCCTTTAGTAATAGTAACAACTGAACCTGGTCTCTTTACAGTATGGTTTGGGTGCAGTGTTATCGGCCACCAAAGCTTCAGCTGGCTTACCTCAGTCTGGAGATGAGTATGATTTCTATCGGAGCTTCCCGGGATTCCAGGAGTTCTGTGAAAGTCAAGGAGATAAGCTTTTGCACTGGTAAGTGTAGTTTCTATTGGCACATGTCAATCATCAGCATGTAACCAACACATAATTAACAATTATTTTATTCTTTTTGTCACTGACCAGTTTTTCAGAAGCAAGCTCAAGTTTAAACCTGAACTGAGTATTCTGAGTTCTGAGGGAGTAAAACAAGGTTTTAATCTGTTTAACTGTCTTTTAGCATGAGCCAGATAATGCAGAACCATGGCTGCAGATCTCACATAAAAGACCGGGACAAACTCACAGGAATAGAGGAGAGGTTTGACTTGGTTGTGGACTCGAATGATGTTATCCTTGAAAGAGCGGTATGACCTGCACCTTTGGCTCTAAATTACTTAATGAATGCAAAGACCTTTGCAGACCAACCAGGTTCTGCTGTCTGGTTTTTAGGGCATTCTTCTTGATGAAGCTGATGGGGTTAATCGGAGCCAGAAGCCTGTCATGCCTGTTGGGTTTCAGCCTCCGAAAATTGTTGTTTCTAGTTGGAATCGTAAGGTAGGTGAAATAAACAGTTCTTCCTGTTATCACAGTTTTTCTGTTTTGAACTACCTTCTTGCTTATCTATAAATTCTTGTATCATAATAAGCAGTGTGTGTGTGCGTGTGTTTTTTTTTTACAGGGTTCCAGCTCTGGCAGTCGTTCTGAGACATTCCGACTGCTCCATGCCAAGAACATTGCAAGGCCTCAGCTGAAATTCAAGGAAAAGGTCGACAACAGCAACACACCTTTTGTTCCAAAGATCTTCATCAAGCCCAATTCATTAAAGGCTCTTCCCTCCTGTAAGAAGCACCTTTGGCACATGTTTTGATTTGCCATTTCAACTCGTCAGCGTATCTGAGTTATTTATTTTCTTTTCTCAAACTGTAGATTTTACCAACAAACAAATTCGTAAAGAGAGGCCGGAGGACCTTGACGTCCCAGCTGCCCTGGCTGACTTTATCCACCAGCAGAGGACGCAGGAACATGTTGAAGACATGTGAGACTTGTCCCTGGTTGTGTCAACACCGTGTTTCATGTTTTCATTTCTCTAAGTAGAGTTTATTTTTTATTTTATGTAGGTTTGCACACCCGTACCAGTATGAACTGGACCATCTCATAGTACCAGAAAGCTTGCTGTCCAAGCCAGAGCCTCAAGTAATATTAACCTGTAGTAACCCAACAAAATCATCTTGTGCCGGTGTGTGTCTCATCTGTTTCTGTTCCTTCTAGATGTACAAACCGTTGGCTGAGACAAACCTAACCTTCGTCGACTCGCTGGAGGATCTAGTGACTCTCAATGAGAAGCTGTGCAAGTCGTCTGAATTTGCTGTGGATCTTGAGGTACTTAAGTCTCGTGTCTTTCTGTTCTAATTAAAATAAAAGTAGCTTTAGGAAGTCATTAAACTCTTTGGAGGCTGTTTTTCTGTTAAACATTTTCTTTTTTTTCTGTGACAGCATCATTCCTACAGGAGTTTCCTCGGCCTCACCTGTCTGATGCAGGTCTCCACCAGAGAGGAGGACTTCATCATTGATACTTTGGAGCTCCGCAGTGAATTGTACATTCTGAACGAGGCGTTTACCGACCCGAGTATCGTCAAAGTAATGAAACTGTTCTATAAATGAGTTAATTTAATGTTGAAGAGATGAGCTGAGTCTGACTTGTGAAGGGAGAGCGTGTCTCCATCATCCTAGGGAGCAGTTCTCCCTCAGCAGTTAAGATAAAAGCCAGATTTCCGTCTCATTAACATGTTTGATAAGGTTGGCAGGTGTCTTGTGCGTGGGAACCAGCGTGACTCACACTCTGCAGGACACCTCTGAACAAATATGATGTGTGGGCTTGGAACAGCTGAAAGATTTGTTAAATTATTCAAATTAAAGTGTTGCATATGTGTCCAGTTAATTTGTCTTTTTTAGTTCAGAGATGCTTTAATAAAAGCGTGTGTGGGTTGGTTTTCTGTTCTGCAGGTGTTCCACGGCGCTGATTCAGACATCGAGTGGCTCCAGAGGGACTTTGGTTTGTACGTCGTCAACCTGTTTGACACACATCAGGCGAGTCGAGCTCTCAACCTGGCCCGACACTCCCTCGACCACCTGCTGAAACACTTCTGCGACGTGGACTCGGACAAACGTTACCAGCTGGCCGACTGGAGGATCCGGTGTGTTGTTAACTGGACACATTTTTAATCATTAATCAACAAGAAAATGTTTATAGTAATATCTTTTGAAAGCTGAAACTCAAAAAGAAATTTGTATTAATTGTCCTTGCAGCCCCTTGCCAGAGGAGATGATTCAGTACGCTCGGTCAGACACCCACTACCTCCTTTACATCTACGACTGTGTGAGAGCGCAGCTTTTAGACAGCAACCACGGGCAGCCGGGACTGTTGCAGTGTGTGTGGAACAAGAGCCGAGACATTTCATTAAAGGTTTGCTCAAACGTCTCTTACTCTCACATGCACAAGCGGTCTGGAGACTTCTGTCTAAAGTCCATGTTGTTTTGCATCATTTCTGTTTGTTCTGGTGTGCTTTTATTATTTTTCTAATTGACATTATCTCTAGGGGTGGAGTGACATTTTGTTGTGTTTTAAATCTAAGAACTTTGTCCAAGCCGAGGGTCAAATTTTGCTTTTTTTGCAAAGGAATTCCCCCGATTTTCTAGATGTTTTATGTCAAAATCTTCATAAAGAAAATATGCATCGCTTTATTTATTAATATAACTTAGATGCTAAGGCAAGCATAGTTGTTTTTTTTTTTGTTAGTTTATGACTGCAGCAGCAGAAGGAAGCTTGTTCCAGTGCATTCTCTCGTCTCTCTCTCGTCTTCCTCCGCTTATCCGGGTCCGGGTCGCGGGGGCAGCATCCCACCTAGGGAGCTCCAGGCCGTCCTCTCCCCGGCCTTGTCCACCAGCTCCTCCGGCAGGACCCCAAGGCGTTCCCGGACTAGATTGGAGATGTAACCTCTCCAACGTGTCCTGGGTCGACCCGGGGGCCTTCTGCCGGCAGGACATGCCCGAAACACCTCCCCGGGGAGGCGTCCAGGAGGCATCCTGACCAGATGCCCAAACCACCTCAACTGGCTCCTTTCGATCCGGAGGAGCAGCGGTTCTACTCCGAGTCCCTCCCGAATGTCCGAGCTCCTCACCCCATCTCTAAGGCTGAGCCCGGCCACCCTACGGAGGAAACTCATTTCGGCCGCTTGTATCCGCGATCTCGTTCTTTCGGTCATTACCCAAAGCTCATGACCATAGGTGAGGATTGGGACGTAGATCGACCGGTAAATCGAGAGCCTGGCTTTCTGGCTCAGCTCCCTCTTCCCCACGACAGATCGGCTCAGCGTCCGCATCACTGCAGACGCCGAACCAATCCGCCTGTCGATCTCCCGATCCCTCCTACCCTCACTCGTGAACAAGACCCCGAGATACTTAAACTCCTCCACTTGAGGTAGGACCTCTCCCCCGACCCGGAGGTGGCAAGCCACCCTTTTCCGGTCGAGAACCATGGTCTCAGATTTGGAGGTGCTGATCCTCATCCCAGCCGCTTCACATTCGGCCGCGAACCTACCCAGCAAGAGCTGAAGGTCAGAGCTGGATGAAGCTAGGAGGACCACATCATCCGCAAAAAGCAGAGACGAGATTCTCCTGCCACCAAACTCGACACACTCCACACCACGGCTGCGTCTAGAAATTCTGTCCATAAAAGTGATGAACAGAACCGGTGACAAAGGGCAGCCCTGGCGGAGTCCAACCCTCACTGGGAACAGGTCCGACTTACTACCGGCTATGCGGACCAAACTCACGCTCCTCTGGTAAAGGGACTGAATGGCCCTTAACAGAAAGCCACCCACCCCATACTCCTGGAGCGTCCCCCACAGGGTGCCCCTGGGGACACGGTCATAAGCCTTCTCCAAATCCACAAAGCACATGTGGATTGGTTGGGCAAACTCCCATGCCCCCTCCATCACCCTTGCAAGGGTATAGAGCTGGTCCACAGTTCCACGGCCAGGACGAAAACCACATTGCTCCTCCTCTATCTGAGATTCAACTATCGATCGGACCCTCCTCTCCAGTACCTTGGAGTAGACCTTTCCAGGGAGGCTGAGGAGTGTGATCCCCCTATAGTTGGAACACACCCTCAGGTCACCCTTCTTAAAGATGGGGACCACCACCCCGGTCTGCCACTCCCTAGGAACTGCCCCCGATGACCACGCAATGTTGTAGAGACGTGTCAACCATGACAGGCCTACAACATCCATTGCCTTGAGATACCCAGGACGAACCTCATCCGCCCCCGGGGCTCCGCCGCTGTGTAGTTGTTTGACTACCTCAGCAACTTCTGCCCCCAAGATCGGACAGTCCATCCCTAGGCCTCCCAGCTCTGGTTCCTCCTCGGAATGCGCATTGGTGGGATTGAGGAGCTCCTCAAAGTATTCCTTCCACCGTCCGACTATAGCCTCAGTTGACGTCAGCAGCTCCCCATCCCCACTGTAAACAGTGTGAGCGAGTTGCTGCCTTCCTCTCCTGAGGCGCCGGACAGTTTGCCAGAACCTCTTTGGAGCCGATCGATAGTCTTTCTCCATGGCCTCACCAAACTCCTCCCACGCCCGAGATTTTGCCTCGGCAACTGCCACTGCTGCACCCCGCTTGGCTATCCGGTACCTGTCTGCTGCCTCCGGAGACCCACAGACCAGCCACGCCCTGTAGGCCTCCTTCTTCAGCCTGACGGCTCCCCGAAACTCTGGTGTCCACCAGCGGGTACGGGGGTTGCCACCACGACTGGCACCGGCCACCTTACGACCACAGCTAGCAACAGCCGCCTCGACAATCGCAGAGTGGAACAAGGCCCACTCGGACTCAATGTCCCCCACTGCTCTCGGGACGTGGTCAAAGCTCTGCCGGAGGTGGGAGTTGAAGACCGTCTTGACAGGTTCTTCTGCCAGGCGTTCCCAGCAGACCCTCACTATGCGTTTGGGTCTGCCAGGTCTACGGGGCATGTTCCCTTGCCATCTGATCCAACTCACCACCAGGTGGTGATCAGTTGACAGCTCCGCCCCTCTCTTCACTCGGGTGTCCAAAACATACGGCCGCAGGTCAGATGATACGACTACAAAATCTATCATCGACCTGTGACCTAGGCTGCCCTGGTACCAAGTGTACCGGTGGGCATCCTTATGTTCGAACATGGTGTTCGTTATGGCCAAACTGCGGCTTGCACAGAAGTCCAATAACAAAACACCGCTCGAGTTCAGATTAGGTGGGCCGTTCCTCCCAATCACACCCCTCCAGGTCAAGCTGTCATTGCCCACGTGAGCATTGAAGTCCCCCAGCAGGACAATGGAGTCCCCTGATGGAGCACTATCTAGCACTCGTCCCAGGGACTCCAAAAAGGGTGGGTACTCTGAACTGATATTTGGCCCATAAGAACAAACAACAGTCAGGACCCGTTCCCCGACCCGAAGGCGCAAGGAAGCTACCCTCTTGTCCCCCGGGGTAAACCCCAACACACAGGCAGAGAGTCTCGGGGCTAACAAAAAGCCAACCCCAGCCCTCCGCCTCTCACCCGGAGCAACTCCAGCAAAGTAGAGTGTCCAACCCCTCTCCAGGTCTCGGGTTCCAGAGCCAATGCAATGTGTCGAGGTGAGTCCGACTATATCTAGCCGGTACCGCTCAACCTCTGCCACAAGCTCCGGCTCCTTCCCCGCCAGCGAGGTGACGTTCCATGTCCCAAAAACTAGTTTTCTTGTCCGGGGATTGGACCGCCAAGGCTCCCGCCTTGGTCTGCCACCCGATTAGCATGCACCGGACCCTTCATGTTCCTCCTGCGGGTGGTGGGTCCACAGTTGGACGAGCCCATGTATCCGGTTCGGGCTGGGCCCGGCCGGGCCCCATGGGCGAAAGCCCGGCCACCAGGCGCTCGCTCACGGGCCCCAACCCCAGGCCTGGCTCCAGGGTGGGACCCCGGTAACCCTCCGGGCCGGGTACTCCGACTCTTCGTTTTAACCGCCATGAAAGATCCTTCGAACCGTTCTTTGTCTCACCCTTCACCTAAGACCAATTTGTCATGGGAGACCCTACCAGGGGCACTAAGTGCCCCAGACAACATAGCTCCTAGGATCATTAGGGCACTCAAACTCCTCCACCACGATAAGGTGACGGTTCAAGTGCATTCTGGGATTTTAAATTCTAAATGGGTTTGGTATTTTACAGCTACAGGCTGTTTACATTAAAATGATATTAAACATGATTTCACAGATTGGTGTGTTATAAATGTTTTGAGTGTCAGGAAGGATGTCCCATAAATTCAGCAGCAGGGATTGTGATGATACAGATACGACACCAGTCTGTCTAAACGTAGCATGTAAAACTCGCCCTGGTGTCTCTTTCTAGTCCTGGTTGTTGCACAAAGTTGTTCTCGTTTTTATCACCTGCCCACAGTTTTCTCTTTTACCTCATGTCACGTGTCTCCTTCCCCTGTGTGACCCGACTCTCTCCTTTTTAAACAGAAATATTTGAAGCCCATCTACACCGAGGAGTCTTATTTAGAGCTGCAGAGGAAGCAGAAAAAGTCCTTTAACACTCAGCAGCTCACTGCCTTCAGACTCCTGTTTGCCTGGAGGGACAAGCTGGCCAGGCAGGAAGATGAAAGCACCGGGTAAGGCTTTGTGAAGTGATGTTCTATCATAGCGGCTTATTTATATTAGGAGTGTGTGTGCACAGTCGGCAAAGAACCAAATATTAATGCTCCTTCTGCTCCAAGGTGTTTAAATGTGATTTTATTTGTGTTCAGATACGTTTTGCCCACCCACATGATGATCAAAATATCAGAGGAATTACCCAAGTAAGTCCAGTAGATTTTACGTTAAAATTACTGCAGAAGGTAATTTATTATAAATAACTTTTGTGTTTTTATTTGTCGGGCCTCCTCAGAGAGCCTCAGGGCATCATCGCCTGCTGTATCCCCGTGCCACCGCTGGTGAGGCAGCAGGTCAACGAGCTGCATTCATTGGTGCAACAAGCCAGAGAAATGCCCCTGCTGAAGGTGAGGAACCACCGATGCTCTGCGCTGTCACTGTGCCTGAATCTGTCATGGTTTGATGCGTTTGTCACTTTTCACACAGGCTGAGATTGCAGCTCAGAAGAAGAAAGGACTCACGCCCGTTAGGAAGGTTAGCTGAAGGCTGAATGGGCGACACCAGCAGCTACAGACAGCCACCATTTGGGGAAAATTCATGTTTTGTTTTTTATGTTGCAGCCAGAGGTCTCTTTGTTTGGTCCACATGATGTGTCCAAGGTTTCTGAGGGTGAAGTGCCACAAGTTACAGCTGACGGTGAGCTCGACAGTTACTGTGCTTTTTCTAAGTTTCAGTGAAAAACAGGGTATCCGCGGGTCCTTAAAAAGTCGTAAAAAGTCTTAAATTTGCTTTTCCAAATTTAAGGCCTTAAAAGTCCTTAAAAATGACAAATAATCCTTAAATACAGTTTACAAAGGTCTTAAATTACCAAAGACCCAATAAACAAGATTCTTTTATTTCTAAAAAAAAAATTCGTGAATTTCTAGTTAGTGTTCAGCATTTTTTGTGTACGATGTTGGCATAAGCGGAACCGTACACATTCAGTGAAAGGGGACTATTTTTAGATGAGCACATTAGCTGGTTAAGCTAGTGGGAGCCTGCGCCATGGGAAAGTGCAAGTTTAATGGTAACTGGATGGCTAATCCCACGTTCGCGACGTTCCAGGCAATAGCTGGAAATCATAGCTTAAATTTAATTTCAAAAACAGCTTAAATTTGGTCAAAGTGGCCTTAAAAATGTCTTAAAAAGTCTTAAATTTGGCTCCCTTAAACCTGCAGATACCCTGGAAAAAGTGTTTCAGGAAAGATTTATTTATTTTTTTTTTTTTTCAGAATCATCTGTTAAAAAGGGGGTCCTGTTCTCAGAGGATGTTGATGAGGAAACAATCCGTCTGTCGGCACCACCTAAAATAACGCTGTTCCAGGTAGCTCTACCTATTTTACTGCATTTTATTCAGCTTTTGTTTATTTGTTTTTTATAACAATGCGTTTTTTTTTTCTTCCTGAAGGAACCAGAAGCTCCTGATGACCAAAGATCCATGTCTGTCGCTCAGATGAAAGCGAGACGCATCATTGAGTCTTTTGAAAACCCTTTCAGAATGGTTAGAGGTGGAACATTTAACCTAATTCACATTTTTATTTAACTAACTGAATAATCGTGTATCTTCCTCTTGCTATCCCAGTATTTGCCTTCAGCTGATGTCCACGTCAACAAGAACGCCAAGTTTGACCCATCCTCAAAAATATTTGAGGTGATCGAAGCCCTCTGTTGATTAGTGCTTAGGTTTTTTTTTTCCTGTTTGGATGTTCATGGATGTTCTGTCTCATTTTAACAGATTAGCAAGAGATGGAAACTTCAGAGTGTTGAGCAGCAGCAGAAAGAGCTGGAGGCCAAGAAGAAAATCAGAGAGGAAGCAAAACAACAAGCAAAGAAAGCATCAGGTAATTTGGTTCAATTATCCTTTAAATTTTTAAAGCAGAGTCACATCATTTGTTGTTGTTTCCACAGAGCAGCGAGCTAAAGCTAAACGGAGCTACCAGGAGTCCCTCCAGAAGGTCCCAACTGTGCGGCAGCAAGCAGCAGTGAGTTATTTACTCTCCCTTTCATTTCCTGTTTGTTTTTACTTGACATGAAAGTTGTGTCCTTTCTGGTGAAGTAGAAATTTGTTTAGAAATTCAGCCCGTGTGGAAGTGGCCGCGGCGCCGGCTGCAGCGTCATAAAGACGTCGGTTTAATAGTTTAAACTTGTGCGACGCCCTCTGCTTTACGAAGGCTCGGCTGCTGTTGCTGCACATAAATACAGCCACTGCTCCGGCGCTGTCGTAACAATGTTTAATATTCATATCTACCACATTTTGTGCCTGGGGGAGAAGGCTGCACAGCGTGGGGCTGAGGCGTTGGAGACGTGTCCTCTTCTCATCAGACACTTTTCTTTCATGATGAGGAGAAACAATAGAAGCTGCTCTCTCCTCCAAAGATCTCTTGCTGTTTAATCAGTTTCTCTGGAGGTGATACTTGGCACCTGCTGGGCTACTCATAGACTCCCTCGCCTCCATATTGTTTATATTCATGGTGATTTCTAGAAGGTGAGTGAGAAGGAAGATCTCTGCCCTCTGACTGACTTTACTGTTTTACCCTCCTGCTTGCAGCAGAGGCATGCACCGGTGCAACTCCATGTGTGGTGATTGCTTTAGAGCATCCTGGCACTTGGCACTCTGGCTGCATGCATCTCAGTCAGAAATGTTGGCAGAAACACTTGAAAGTAACAAGTGTAGAGAATTATTGGCTGTGATATTAGCAACTGTCACTTTCAGCCGGCCCTCTGGCAGCGAGGTTTCGTGTCTAATTATACGTTTAAAATAAATATTCTGTTAGTTTTTCTGGAGCTCGTATTACACCCATATGATAAAAGGTTTGCGGTGCTGCAATCAGGTGCCAGCACCTGTGTTCATCTGCATTTAGCATGATTGGGAATTATTACATCAGATAAATTTAAACTGATATCCTCTTATGTTTTGAATCAAATATATACATACATTTCAAGTTTTTTTTAAACAAATTATTAAAACTCAAGCTAAAGAAAGTTGTGTTTTCAGAAGGTGCATAAAATGTAGAAAATAAGCAGACATAATTATTCCAAGATCTGCTGATGTCAGTCACAACTAATCAGCGTGAGTTAACCAAATGCCCCGCTCAGTGATTCTGAGGGGTTATTTTGAGTACCCGCCCCAGCTCAGGTATTCCATTGGTTCCTGAAAATGGTCCTTCTGGTCGGGTTGCTGAAGTGGAGACGTATGTACTGTTCTAATAGTGGAGACGTACCTGCTGCCCTCAAACGACCACAACAACATTTTAAAAATGTACATTGAATATTGAAGACTAAACAATATCAAACAGCCAGAGGTGCCACTCACGGATTGGCTGGGCAAGCAATTGCTTGGGGGCACCAGGGGCCCCCAGAGAGCTGACGAGTCCTCTCATACTCCCTGGGTGTTTCTCAATGTCAAGGCGACACTGTCCTTCCTTGGTCAAAGAAAACGGTTAAATGGAACAGACTTGCATCACGTGACCGCGGCTTCCACGTAACGTCACGTAACACGGGAGATAACGTTATATTTTATACGTATCAGTTTCAATATTAATATATAACGAGCTTTTACTTTTTAAATTGTGTATATGTTTATTAAATTAAACACAGAAGCGAGTTACTACCCGCTAGCCACCGAAGCTGCAACTACTGAACAACTAACCAACCGTAGATAATAGGGCTGTAGCGAAGCTTCGATGACGTCGACGGCTCGATTCTAAAAATTCGTCGACGTCAGATCCGGTAGTCGACGCACCGCGCCCACTTGTTGCATCCCCAGGAGTTTGTAAATAGAGGTGGAATCTGCCTGTTTTTCCTCTAGTTCGCCCTCTTCTCCGCCTTCACTAACATCTCAGCCAAATACCGAAGACCCGGAACAACGTCCGTCCGCTACTAGGTTCCTTTCCTGTTTTGCCCGCCTTCGTTTCCCGACAACGGACAACAACTTCCGGGGTCAAATGCGCTGCTCCGTCTCTATAGCAGATGCAGAAAATCACCGGGAGCGTTTCTCCCTTCATAAAGGAGCTTCTTTCAGACATTAGGAGAGCTGTTTTGGTGGTAGCAGTCTCTCCTCCGAGCTGGTCTGTTTGCTGCTGGGTGTTTTTGGTTTATTTAAACTTGGCAACTTGAACTTAACGTTGGTAAAGCTACTGTTAGCATTTTCGCTAACAGCTTCTTGCGTTTGGATAAGCTGTTACGTTTTGGTTTAGAGTTGATCTTTTTTCAATCCAATCCAATCCAATTTTATTTATAAAGCGCATTCACAAGGCATTACAACCAAACAAGGCGCTGTACACTAGAAATGTTGGTTAATTAAACAAGCGATATTTAAACATGTTGAACACATATAAAAAATAATAATTTGTGGTACAAATTAATAAATGTCTAAATGTAATAAAATCTCCCTTTTATTACATTTAGAGTGTTTTGGGTTTTCGGTTTGGTTTAAAATATCACCTTGAGGTTGGTTTAACCACCCAGTTTAGAGTTTGGAACTTTGGAGATTCTTATTTTGGTCCAAAACCCTGTAATCTTTGCCCAGCGGGACATCCCTAGTTATCTGTACTTTTGTTTTAATTCCCCACAGGCAGAATTAGTTTTATTACTCCCAACCTGTGGATGGAAAGATTTGGTTTTTTGTAGTTGTAAATAAACCCGATCATCATTTTAACTTTTAAATCCCACATTATTGTCCCTTCCTTTTTGCACACGAGCCAAACTCCCCAGGAAGAGTCGTAACACCACTCGCCTCACACACATAAGTGACCAAGACGAAGCAGCATGGAGACACTCCGTCTCCAACCACCTCTCAGGCAGCAGCCTGCACTCCCAAGTTCTTCATGTCACCAGAACATAACCAACCAACACAATAAAAGCAGTGTTATACAAAATGGGAGGCCTGTAGTGTTTATTCTCTTACAGTAACAATTAATCAATTTTTTGTAGGAATTTATTAGAGATTTTTTGGTTTTTATTGACTGTGCAATAGAAACATAATCATTAGATTAATTGTATAAATAGTCATTAGAATAGTCAACTATTCGATAAAATAATCGTCAGAATAATCGTTTTAAAAATAATCGTTTACCCCCAACCCTAGTAGATAACTTCTTTGGATTTAAAAAAAACATTTCAAATATCGGCCCGATAGCTACAATTAGTTGACTTACATTTAAACTTGAGATTTGCCCTGAAGTAGCTGCTGGCTTCTGATCCGCCATCCTTTTGAAAATACCGTGGTATTTATTTTATTTATTTATTTATTTTATTTATTTATTTATTTTAAACTAATTTATTTATTTGTTTCTTTTTTGTTTTTGTGATTGTCCTGCTCAACGTCAGGGTTGTTAAACCAAGTTGTACAATGTCAAACTTAAAATAAAAAGTATTAAAAAAAATAAGACAATACCGTGGTGTGTTCTGGGAAATCTTTGACCAAGGCTAGACTACGAGACACCTCCCATGTATCCTTGCTCAGCTAGCTAAACGGCTAACAGAGAACAGACGCCTCAGTAGAACGTGAACATCGGAACACGTCTTGGCGGTTCCTGATGACGTATCTCCTGGGCAACCGGGGCGGGGCCAAGACATCAAGGCGAGGTTCCTTGGCATTGAGAAACACCCCCTGTTTCGGCCCTCTCTCTCCCTCCCAACACCTCCTCATCTGCTCAAATAGAACATTTATTTTAGCAAACCCAGTCAGTCGGTGGTGTAACAAAATGTCTACATTGATGAACTTGTGAATTTGGCCATTTTTGACATTATTTTTTCTTTTCTCAGGAATCTGTAAAGGATGGAGAACAGAAAAGAGTGAGAGTTGCTCGAGAGTCTGGAGAGGAAACTCCCAATCCAAGTAAGAAGCAGATGAAATCAGCAGAGAAGCCCCAGAAGAAGGAAGCACCTTCCCAAGAGAGCTTCAAGCCCTTTGACTACAGCCAGTCGGACCTTAAAGTTTTTGATGGTGTGAATTCATGATCCTTTATTCTGAAGGTCAAACTATGTCCTCCCTTTCATTTATGTTCTGTTGATTCATGTTTTCACAGGTGCCAAAGCAAAGGACAACACGCAGTTTGATCCAAACCGACAGCCCAGAGACTTTAAGAAAAAGGTGCTGGTTTGGGGTTTGTTTGTTTGTTTTAATGCACAAAATTGTAGAATCAAATAGAAAAGTTTGATGTATTTAAAAAAAATTCTTCCCAAACAGAAAATTCATCAGGGACAAAAGAAAAACTCTGGAGCTGGAAACAAAAGTGTATCATACCTGGCTGGAAAATCAGAAAGGTAAATAAATTCAGATCAGGTTTTGTTTTTTGTTTTTTCTTCTGCACATTCAGATGTAGTTTTACTTTAATTATTTTGTTTTTTCTTCCCTACAGAGGATTTCGCCATAACTGGCCCAAGAGATAAATCCTGTAATGCTACTTTTTTTTTCTTTTTAATAATCCACTTTTTTTAACCATCTTGCAGGGGAATTCCAGTATTTCAGGGTTTAATGCGAGTAAGTGTATTTTTTCCACCTGTTGTACTTCCCTGTAAATATGTGAAAGCATAAACTCGTATTAAAGTCGTTTGGAAAAAATTTTTGGATTTCTTTAGTTTCCATTCACAATATAGTTTTAATATTTCAGCTCGTCTCCGTAAGTATTTTCTGATCTGATGTGTCAGGTGAATCTGTAGCATGTGTTGTGGATTGTCAGACTGAACAATGTTGGATAAGAGTTGGAAAGAAATTCTGTCAAAGCAAAAGGAGGAGTGAGGGCCCCAAGGAGGTCGTTGTAATGCTAAATTATTCCTGCTGTTTCTTATAATCTTTCAACTATCCTGGTGAGCCATCCTATGCATGTAAATGGCCTGTATGTGAATATACATGCTGAACAAAATCATTTTGCTTCGGCTACTGTTTAGATTTCTAGGCTAAGTTTTAACAGTTTATTGTGAATACCATCATTATTTGTTAGAATGCTGTCTGAGATTGTTTCAAATGGGTGTTTCAATTTGTAGAAAAATTATATAGAGTATAAAGAATACTAAATGTTAATAAAATAAGTTAAAAAGGTAGTTTTTTTTAGGAAACAAGTGGCAAGTAAACAATTTGAGAGAAAAGGAGAATGAAATGGTTATTCAAGACAAAATTTGAGCAGTAACACTTATAGAAGTAATGTTTGTATGTTTCAATCACTTTGCAGAAGCACTTCCTGTTTTCTTTCCAAATAAAACTGGCATTTTGGCAGCATTGGGAACTTGCACTAATAGTCTGTCTCTTATTTTGTTAAAAACACAGTCACAACAGTATTTATACACCAAAAACCTGAATTAGAAAGCGGAATATTTCCTGCACATGCGCAATTACAAGGCAGTTAGCTTCACGTGGCGGGCCACACTGGGCAGTATTGGGGCGGAGCCAAATGCGACGTCAAGCAAACTATAAACGATCCGGTAAAGTCAATTTTCATTGGTTCTTGCAAGGAAACGCCTGTCTCATTGGCTGCGGTCTGAGGCAGCAAGTTTAGCTTTCAGAGAACGGCTTCTCTCTGGGAACACGTTTGTTTTAGCTGTGTCTGCTGTCCTCTGTCATGGACCAGATTAAAGATGGGTGGTTTACCGAGTCGTGCGCGTTGTGGCCGGGGCAGGCGATGAGCCTCCAAGTGGAAGAGGTTCTCTACCAAAAGAAATCCAAATTTCAAGATGTAATGGTTTTCAAGAGGTGAGGGGTTTAGCCTCGTAACCTGGCTAATATTGCTAGCTGTTAGCAGTAGTCAGCTGCTGAGTGTAGCTCGTTTCCTCAACCAGTAAGGTGCGTGTAGATTCAGAGACTAGTGACCTATATGGGACGTTATTTCTAAAGTATACGCATGAAATACTTCTGACAGTAACGTTCGAGTTCACAAAACGTCGCGATGTCTTTTACGTTGTGATTACTGTCTCCAGTAAAACGTATGGAAACGTCTTGGTTCTGGACGGTGTGATCCAGTGCACTGAAAGGGATGAGTTCGCCTATCAGGAAATGATTGCCAGCCTTCCTCTGTGCAGTCATCCTTGTCCCAAGAAGGTGAGTCTGCATTTATTGTTGGTTCATTCTGGGTGTTTCACGGTGGGGCGGATAACAAATGCAGTTTGCCCCTCTTACAGGTTCTGGTTATTGGCGGTGGAGATGGTGGTGTGCTGAGGGAAGTCGTGAAGCATCCACTGGTGGAATCCGTTGTTCTCTGCGAGATCGATGAGGTAAAATCATTTATATCAGCAAAAAAATAAAATACCCTGGCCTGGTTCTCTTTGACCTCATACCACAATACAGGTGGACCATATTCATGAAGTTACTTCATAATTCAGCGATTAGAAAATAAAACCTTTTTGTGCAAGAAATCCATAGCAGAAAAGAATATTACTAACTGTAAACAACCATTTGATCATTAAAATATGTCTCTTGTCACAGATAATTATGGTCCTGCAATTGCATAATGTGTGTGAGTGGCACTGTGTTATGTCTAGGATGTCATAAATGCATCAAAGAAGTATCTCCCGGAAATGGCCAAAGGATTTTTCAGTCCCAAGCTCACCCTCCATATTGGTGATGGCTTTGAGTTCATGAAGGAGAACCAGGATGCTTTTGACATCATTATAACTGATTCCTCTGACCCAGTGGGTGAGTAAGTGCCACTTTTAGAATTGGTTTTACCTTCCTGTTCCATGTTTTAGAGTCTTAACCAGTTTAAACTAATTTTTGTTGTTTTTTTTTTTTTGTTCCAGGACCTGCTGAAAGTCTGTTTAAGGAGTCTTACTATAAGCTAATGAAGGCAGCATTGAGAAGTGGTGGCATTCTTTGCTCTCAGGGTAGGTTTATGTTTAGTAGGAGTTTTGAATTCAAGTTTAAGAGGCTGGCAAAGCCAGAAGTCTGTTTACACAACTTATAAAAGCACAAAAATGTAATATTTAGTTCCTGTGTATTGTCTTAAATCTGGTTTTGTGTCTCTTGTAAAGGAGAGTGTCAGTGGCTTCATCTGGAGCTGATAAAGGAGATGCAGACCTTCTGTAAAACCCTGTTCCCTGTGGTGGACTACGCTTACACCACCATCCCTACTTATCCCAGCGGCCAAATTGGATTTATGCTGTGCAGTAAAAATCCTGTAAGTGTGCTCGTCATATCCAGTCACCACCTGGCTAACATTTAAGCACTGTTGGAGTCCACAGATGTACAAAACTCTTACAATTTCCATTGAATTTTATTGTGTCAGGAGACAAACTTCAGGGAACCAGTGAAAGCTCTGTCAAAGGAAGAGATGGAGAGTATGAACCTTAAGTATTACAACCCAGAAATTCACAAAGCATCGTTCGTCCTCCCAGAGTTTGCGAGAAAAGTAAGTCGGAATCGTCTGTTTTTGTGCATCACTGACTGGAATGCACTTCAGAATTTTATTTGATTTTTTTTTTCCCCCTTCTTGTCATTTTGATTATCAACAGGTGCTCAGTGAAGCATGACCAGTTAAAACCGACGTAACCTCTTCTGCCCGGCCCGTCAACACCACAGATGTAAACGTGCTTCTCGACAAAAGTCTGCATCCTCCAAAAGAAATCAGCTGATGGGAACTTTCTGAGTTATTAGCTTGTGCCGGTGTTTCCTTCTTTCAGTCTTACGTCTTCTTGGTGTTTTTTCACTTGTACTTTTTGCCTAGTCTGATCAACATTCTGGGAGGAGCAGTGGGTATGATGGGCCGGGACAAGACCATTGCCACAAAACGTGACCTCACTTTGAAACATTGTTCTTTTCTCTGATTAACTGCATCTACACCACATGTATAAATATCCTGTTCATGTGAAGCTTTGCTGCCTATTTCTGATGTTTTAGTTCATTTTGAGAATACGCAGTGTCCATCCTTCATTACTGGTTATTCAGGTTACTTCTTGTTCAGTAAAATCCGATCCCCTTAGTGCCTGATCTCAGTACTGTGTTTCAAATGGAGCTGAAATATTCTGGCTCTGTTCTAATGTACCAAACAGGTCAAGTCCTGCATGCATCTCAAGAGCTAAGAAAATGTCACTAACTTGGAAGAAACATAAAGCTGATGTTTATCAGTGACCAATTCTAAACAAGCTGTTTTATTGTTGGAGGGTAAATCAACTAGAAATGCAAGAAAGGCTTTTAAAGATGAATTCTTTATGCAACTTTAGCCTGCAGAGTTAGCTTCTGGTAGTACAGCTGCACTAGTAAACAAACACACTGCAGAATGCTGATCGTTTCTCCTGGTGGAAATCTTAATGCATAGCTTCAGTTGTTGAGACAATGTAAAAAATCATTTACTGCATAATCATTAAGTCAGTCTCTGTGGAGTTGTGGTGTCATACCTGAGCAATGAACTTGTTTTTATAAGAACTATGAATTATAATAAAATTGGTAACAAACTTAATGCATTTGTTTGTTTTTTGCTCTCTTTTTTATGGGAGTGTTAAATGACTGATGTATTGGTGTCCATAATCTGCAGCTCCTGCCTCTGCAAATACAAGATTTAATCTCCTTAAAAGGCAGTCTGTTATGAAAGGAATCAGACTGGTCTGATTTTCCTGAGTTAAAATTAAAAATAAAATGTTTTGATTGGATGAAAGCTTAAATGTTGATATAGAGGACAAAAACTCAGGACTTCAAACTGGCCTCAATGTTTTTTTTATTGTAATTTATGGTGCAGCTTATATGGTGGTATTAAAAATAGAAATAACGCTAATTACGTAAGTTTAAATTTTCTCAAATGTGTTTATATTTTTTGTTCCAGCATAAAAGTACAAGTCAATAATTATTATAGGTACCATGCTAGAGTTTAACTTTACAGCCTTTCTGTAACACCTAATGATTTACCTTCGTTCTAAGTTCTAGTGCTTTTTGCACATTTTATTTTGGGGAAAGAACGTCTGATCATTTCTACATTTTTGTGTAGTCGGCTGAGGTGACATGAACAATCATCCACCACAAGGTGGCATGCTTGACTGTTCTGGTCAAACCCATCTGCAGTAGCTGTAGTAATCTTCTTTTAGATTCATTTTTATTCTAGAATTGAAAAAGCCTGCAGGCGGCATTAAATAGTTCCGTCTGTGTTTTTATTCCAGTGTGAGGCGACTGTTGCTGCTCAGTTGCATCAACTCCAATCACTGTAGTGGAACACACCATCCTGCAATGGTTGTCTCTTAAAATGTGACCAACCTCTTATTAACACGCTGCCTTAAACGGGTTTCCATACTCCAGCTCTCAGGTGCTCAAAAGAAATCAGGAATTCACGTTTCTCTGCTGATTTTCACTATTTTCTCATGTGATGTTGATTTCTTTATTCTGCTTTAATTTAAGAAAATTCCAAGTTTAGATGTCTTCAGTGGAGCCTAACTGAAGGATGCATCCGCCCCTTCTCTGTTGCTGACTGACAGTTCATGCATAAAACAGAGATTCATCTGAAGCGGTCACCTTTCTGACGTCTGGCTCCGTTTGAAGTCTCGTCCTTACGGCAGCAAGTCGGTGACTTATCAGAACCACTGAATTACCAAAACTAACCATTTCAACGGTCGACTAATCTCTGGGTTGAGCTCTGGGCGATCTTCACATCAGCAGAAAGCTGCTGTAAACACACCTGAACACGTCAACACTAACCTGTAAATAACTCCAGCAATAATTATGTTGAACATTCTCAATCTGTTTTACACTTTTATGCTGTAATACATTTTCTATAATCAGATCAGGGTTACTCAATTCAAACATTTAAATGACTTTCTTCTAGTAAAATTCTGCAGATACACTCGATTTATCTTAAAAATGCTATAAAAGCTGAATCAGTCATGGTAAGATGTGAAATTTGGACACATTTGAGCAAAATCTTTGACGAGTGTATTTTTCTGCAAAACATTCTATTAGAACTTGACTTTCAGGCTAATATTTTGCAACATATTTCTTCAAGACCTTTAAAATGTCTATATGCACTTAATTAGAACTTAAAGATTAGATTCCAACTAATTATGAAGACAAAGAAAAATAGATTTTAAGAAATTAACTTGACAAGCTGTGATATTTGCATGAGTTGTTCTAAATACGTTTATTTCTAGAAATATCAAATGTGACTTGGATGTTATTACTGAGAGACTAGTCTAAAACCAGGTGTTCTGTCATTCTTCAATATTTTATCCATTTAAGCAGAAAAAATATAATTCCATATGAAGATGCATTTTACACTGAATCAAAGCAACCTAATGATGTCTTTATCAGACTTGGAGACCCATGAGGACAACCAGATACAGTAAGCGCTTCAAGTCTTTTATTTACAGAGATGTAGCGTTACCAGAGACTGATGGGGCTGAGGCAGGGTGGTGAGGAGGCATGGGTCAGAGCCAGAGAGATCCGTAATAAATCCAAGGGGAAAGGCGAGAGGCAAAATCGAGAGACAGGTCAGCGTTCAGTAAACCAGGTAGACTAAGAGGCAGAGTCACAGACAGGGAGCAGACAGGAGGCGATGTCAAGAAGCAGATCCAAGGTCTGTACACCAGGCAGGCTTGTAATCAGAGCAACAGGACCCAAACAGGACCCAAACAGGACCCAAACAGGAGTGAGGCAAGGTGGAAGGTTTTAGGCGTTCAATAATCTGGTGATGGCTTGGTGTTGGTCCAGGTGTTTTATAGAGAGCGTTGCAGGTGGAGCTGATGAGGAGTTAATGTGAGACAGGTGGTTTGGATGAGGATGATGGTGAGCTGGTAGTGGTTGCTAGGGAAACGGGGCTTGGCTGGAGCAAGGGCATAACAAATGATCCATAAATGCCTACATTTATGTTTCAATTAAAGTACAGTTGTGTGTAAATCTATTTTTACTAAAATGCAATATAAATAAAATTAATAACTGAAATTTTTTTACATAGTTTAATGCAGATGTGGTTTTCAGACTGATCACCGTTTCTGAGGAGCACTGAAGACGTGTCCTCGGGTCTTCAGGAGGTGTCAGACAGTTCAATTGTAATCCCAAGGTGTCAAAGGGGACCTTAAAGTTCCTTTGGCAGGAATTAAATGTTAAGTGTCAATCATAAGATCGCTTTGTGTGTTTCTTCAAGACTTTTCTGTATCGCTTCATCGGGGAGGTTCGTAATGTATATCTGGATCTTTACAAATGTCTGCCATGCACCTGTTTCTAAAGTGTATTTATCATAACTAGTAGTTCACAGGTTGACGTTAACAGCTGGTTACATCTCAGTGACGTTGTTTCCTTCTGATGAATCATGCAACCACCTCACATTTCATCAAAAAGGTTAACTTTTAAAAGCAGCTCCTGACCCCTTCGCCTCCCCTTCTCATTTATGCTTACCCCAACAGCATGCACACATCCCCTCTGTTATACACCCACCACCCTCTACGTCAGTGACAGGCGGTGTGTGAATGTGTGTGTGTGTGTGTGTGTGTGTGTGTGTGTGTGTGTGTGTGTGTGTGTGTGTGTGTGTGTGTGTGTGTGTGTGTGTGTGTGTGTGTGTGTGTGAGAGAAAGAGATGGGGAGAGGTGTATAAAAGAGTGAGGGACTTTGGAGGTAGAGCAGAAGAAACATCTGCTTTGCAGATCTGATGAGCAGCTGCCACCAACTACTCTGGACTCACACACACACACATACACACACTCAGCCTTGAGAACCTCCTTGCTCTGCTCCCGTTGATCTGGTCCTTCACTCCTGCCACAGCATGCAGCTCCTGGTGGGTTTAGCAGCTCTCATGGGGGTTCTGTTCAGTGTGAGAGCAGCCGCCGTGCTTCCTGTGGAGGACAGGAGCTCCATCCATTTAAGCAGGGTGAGCATATTCGATTCACAGATACACATTTCTTTATAGTGTCTGTTTTTGATTTAAAATTTTGTTTAAGCTTCAGATTTTTTATTAAATTTGTGTAAATTTGGCTTTACCAAATAAATTGTCAGGTGCAACTTTTGTTTATTTTTGACAGCAATGTTCAGCTATATGCATCTCGTATCATTTTTCCAGGAGCTGAGCAAAGAGCGTAAAGAGCTGATCCTGAAGCTGGTGTCAGGCTTGTTAGATGGAGCTCTGGACACCAACATGCTGCCCGGTGAAGAGGCACGCGTGGACTTGGAGGAGCCTCTGGAGTCTCGTCTGGAGGAGAGGGCTGTCTACAACAGGCTAGCGTTACCTCAGCGTGACCGCAAAGCCCCGTGTAAAAACTTCTTCTGGAAAACTTTCACCTCCTGCTAACAGCGCCCACCTCCCCTGCTCCGGTCCAGCTCCACATGAACTGTAGTACATCTCAGCTGTACAAATCATCTTCACCTGTGCAGCATTGATGGATTTCACTAAGACGGTTTTGAATATTACCTACTTATGTAAAAATCTATGTATTTATTGTACCTGTAGTTATTTTCAGGATCTACTATAATAAAGCACGGCTATGGTATGTAACATGGTTGCTTTTGCAGATACACAGAAAGTCACATTTTTCACCTGCTTCTGCGACATAAATACAAATCAAATGCAAAAACTATGGCTTTATGGATTTTTTTACTTAGATTTAATAAATTTGTGAAAACTTTTAGGAGTTTCTTGTGCCACATTATCACGGTGATTCAAAACGTATGCCAACATTTTAATTTAATCGAATTTTTTAAATCTTTCATATAGTTTATACCTAATATTTCATTATAATACATTATGAGCAATGACAATTTAAATAAAATGCACATCTGATTTGTTAGTTACCTGTACGTGATTCTTATTAATGCAAAGTCACAGAAAAAAGGAGACACTTCACTGATTTACTACACATTCCTGAAGGAGTGGAAATATATCTGTCTAAATAAATCGTCTTTTTAAACTCTGCATGTGTGACGGCATGAGTAGACTTTAAATTATTTAGGTTAAAAATAGAAAAATAAATACATTTTAAGAACAAAAGACCAAGTTGGTAGAAATAAGTTAGCTACTATAGCTGCTTCGATCGTAACCAGTCCTGCTGCAAATACCACCACACTCGCACACCACTCTGGTGTGTGTGTGTTTTAATTTCTTAGTGTGGGAGGACATTATCATGAGCACAATTAAACTCTGATTTCCAACCTGCACTCCAAATCCATGTCAGTGAGTGGTCTGATGAAAGGTTCCTCTTGCTTTAACTGTGCAGGTGAGCCAAAAGCATCAATTAGATAATAGAACACTTTAGTCTTTTTAAAGATATATAGAAATGTCATTTTTTGTTGTCGTGTGCAGACTAACGGCAATATAAAATGAGCCCTTGCAGAATTTATTAAAACAATAAATGCAACATTTTCAGATTAATCTTTTATTTATTTATTGCAATCTAATGGTAAAATACATGAATTATTTAATTCTCAAATAACCAACATGAGCGAGTCTCCAAGCTTCACAAAGACCCCCAGACAGTCGGAGGAAACAGAACTCTTCTCGGCCTGATTCCAGTCTCCTCTTCTCTCCGTACTGAAGAATAGCTGCTAATGATTCACAGTCGTGACGCTCTGGAGAGCACGGCTCTGATTCAATTACAGGTTTTGTTATAAAGTTCATGTTTATGACATCTCCATCTATTGTTGTTGTTGCTCGTGTCTAAAAAGGCTGATGAGAACACCTTGTCATTGGTCTAATCTTTGTGTTTTTACACCATCTTCTGAAAAATCCCACTTGATGGTAAGTGATAGTACGGTGAAACTGAAGGCCATAATAATTACATGGTTCTCACATCCACTTGGAGCTGGTGCTCTTTTAATGATGCTGAGCAGACAAAGGCCCTTGTGGGCCTGCCTAATTACAGGTCATCACGAAGCTCCGTTTATTCATGTGTACGGCTTTATAAAAAATGTACAAGAAAAAAGCAAAATGATAGATTTCAGAGCAAGTAAGAGACAAAGAACCCTGTGTTATATCAAAGTAGAAATAGTTTAAGGAAAAAATTAAAATGACAAATAATCCAGGTTTTTTTTTTGTCCTCGACACCAAATATCGAGTCAAAACTGTAAACAATCTGAAGTCGGTACTGAAGCGGTCCACTCCTGACTTTATGCCTTTGAGCCTAAATGAGCATGTGGAGGTACAACATCAAAGCTGATGGCTGCGAGCAAAGCATGTCATTGGGTTCTCTTTTGATCTGAATGAGGAGGAGGAAGAGGCAGTACTCAGGGCATAACTGTGTAATTCAAATTTAAATGTGACCTCATATGTGCCGGTGTTTAAAAATAACAAAGACCACGGTGCCGATGCTCCTCCTCAACGAAGGAAAAAGAACTTCAAAGTGAGCCACCACCCATAGTTACCGACAAAGAGGATAAAATCGGTCAGAGGGAATGTGTGTGTGTGTGTGTGTGTGTGCGCGCGCGTGCGTGCGTGCGTGCGTGTGTGTGTGTATGTGTAACTGCTAAATGAAAAGCATGTTCTAAATACTGATCTTCTCTGACCATCCTATAGGATCTTGTATGGTTTACAACTTAAAGTCAAATGTGGAATAAAGTGTTTATCTGTGTCATGTGATGCATGCTCCTGCATTATCTTACATATTAAATTATTATATCATTTTTATTCACTGCATGTTCTCCCTGTGCATGCGTGGGTTCTCTCCGGGTACTCCGGCTTCCTCCCACAGTCCAAAAAAAAAAAACATGACTGTTAGGTTGATTGGTCTGTCTAAATTGTCCCTTGGTGTGTGTGTGTGTGTGTGTGCATGATTGTTTGTTCTGTGTGTCTCTGTGTTGCCCTGCGATGGACTGGCAACCTGTCCAGGGTGTACCCCACCTGATTGCCCGTTGGCCGCTGGAGATAGCCGCTCGGGAACCACCAAATGGTTCCCGAGCGCAGCTGTGTCTGCAGCTCACCGCTCCCCCAGGGGATGGGTCAAATGCGGAGAACAAATTTCGCACACACACCAGTGTGTGACAACTAATGGGACTTTAACTTTAACTTTAACTTTATAGGCACCAGCCCCCCCCACCCCACCCACCCACCCCCACCCCCCACCCCCGCAACCCTGCGTGGACAAGCGGGTTCAGAAGATGGATGGATGGGTCGATAAACATGATCCATTGCCCTCATTGACAGAATCTCCTGTTAAACTTTTTGAAGCTTCTTGAGGAGTCCAGCTTCCAAATGTTGAATGGCCCTTGAACTTTGATTTGCCTTGCCTAGAGCTACTGTACTTCTGAAATTACATTCAACATGTATGTTTTTCGTTTAAAGAAATATTTTTCAAATTTAATTTTTTTTCCAACTAATTTCCTTTGAGAGATTAACCAAAATCCCAGCTGTGTGTTTCCCCCTGAGAGCGGTTCTGATTTAACAGGTGTGTCAGGTCTCATTTTCATCCTCCCCGGTGTGCATTTAGTAACAGTTCACATCCACTATTCCAGCCTCCGTCAGACGAGACAGGCCAAATTAACACTCACTGCTTGGCTTAATGCTTCTGAGGAAAGGTGTGAACAGGTAGGTTGTGAGGCAATTCCCCAGAAAGCAAAGCCGTCTCCTCTCCTGCACACAATAAATATATCAACAGGTTTAATGTGATTGGATGAAAATCTGCTGTTTTAACATATTCATAATAGTTACAACAACCCATCCATCCATTTTCATCGGCTTATCCGGAGTCGGGTCGTGGGGGCAGTAGCCTAAGTCGAGAGGCCCAGACTTCCCTCTCCCCAGCCACTTGGGCTGGCTCTTCTGGGGGAATCCCAAGGTGTTCCTTGCCCAGGTGAGAGACATAGTCCATCCACCGTGTCCTGGGTCTACCTTTAGGTCTCCTCCCGGTTGGACGTGCCCGGAAAACCTCACCAGGGAGGCATCCAGGAGGCATCCTGACCAGATGCCCGAGCCACCTCAACTGGCTCCTCTCAATGTGGAGGAGCAGCAGGTCTACTCCGAGCCCCTCCCGGATGACCGAGCTTCTCACCCTATCTCTAAGGAACAGCCCAGCCACTCTTAGGAGAAAAATAATTTTGGCCGCTTGTTTCCGCAATCTCGTTCTTTCGGTCACTACCCAAAGCTCATGACCATAGGTGAGGGTAGGAACGTAGATCGACCGGTAAATCGAGAGCTTCCCCTTCTGACTCAGCTCTCTCTTCACCACGACAGATCGGTACAACGCCCGCATCACTGCAGATGCAGCACCAATCCACCTATCGATCTCAGGCTCCAGTTTTCCCTCACTCGTGAACAAGACCTCGAGATACTTAAACTCATCCACTTGGGGCAGGACCTCATCTCTGACCCGGAGAAGGCATTCTACCCTTTTCCGAATCAAGACCATGGTCTCAGATTTAGAGGAGCTGAATCTCATCCCAGCTGCTTCACACTCGGCTGCGAACTGCTCCAGCAAAAGCTGAAGATCACGTTCTGGTGAAGCTAACAGGACCACATCATCTGCAAAAAGCAGAGACCTGATCCTCAGGCCACCAAAACGGATGCCCTCCACACCTTGGCTGCACCTAGAAAGCCTGTCCATAAAGGTTATGAACAGAATCGGTGACAAAATTCACCCTTGGCGGAGTCCAACTCTCACTGGAAACGAGCCCGACTTACTGCTGGCAATGCGAACCAAGCTCTGACACAGGTCATACAGGGACCTAACAGCCTGTATCAGAGGGCCTGGTACCCCATACTCCCGGAGTACCCCCATAGGGCCCCCGAGGGACGCAGTCAAATGCCTTCTCCAAATCCACAAAACACATGTAGAGAGCTCCGGGAGTTGACGTCACTTCTCCCGGCATGCAACAGTTCAAATCGAAACGGCGCCATTTGGCAGGCAGAAGCCGGCAGCTGGACTATTTGTTATTGTCAGAAAACTCAATCAAACGGGAAATATGGTAGATTCCTGTTGTGCCCCAGGATGCAGAACAGACGTGGACGACATAAGGAATGAGCCATCTACAGGATTCCCAAAGATCCGGAGCGCCGCAAACGTTGGATCATTGTAATAAAACGCTCTAGTGACCGGGCTAAAATGAAACTGAGGGATCCCGAGAGTAAAGGTTTTTGCTTATGCAGCGACCACTTCATATCAGGTACTTAAACCAACGTTTCCTCAACTGTGTATGGTATTTATTTTAAATGCTTTTATTATGATTCTTAGTGGGCTTCCTAAACTTATTTTGGCGTGGCTTTTTCTGTCATATTACTCATAGCAACAAGTAAACATCACGTAAAACGTTTACTCGTGAGTTCTGCGTGCTGCCGTTTCCATGTCTTATGATGACAGCAATTAACCGGCTAAGCTGTATTTAATTTTTAAGCAATGGTTGATCAATTGTCAGATCACACATAAAAAGCACTTTGGATTGCTATTATCTGTCTCACCGAGACTACTTACGTGTAAATCTGTTATTTGTCCGTCCATCCATCCATTTTCATCCGCGTATCCGGAGTCGGGTTGCGGGGGCAGTAGCGTGACTTCCCTCTCCCCAGCTGCCGGAGCCAGCTCCTCCGGGTAAATCCCAAGGGGTTCCCCGGTCAGGTCCGGTGTTGTGCCGGTAAGAAGTCCGCTCCGAC